AATTTCTGTGCTTACAAGTTCAACAGCTGGTATTTTTCTCATAATTAGAGAAAATTAAAATCCAAGTAATATGCACCTCTCTGATGTATGTACAATTGACATGCTAAAAAAGATCCCAGTCTTGAAGAGGCATTATCTAAGCAAATGGTGTACCCTTCTGGAAGCTGCCTCTCCAGCATTTTCACCATTAAAAAAATCATTGGATTATTTCAAACCCAGATAAAAACAAAATTTTATGTAAAAAAAAGTAATACCCAATCACATGCAGTGATTGTCAGAAAAATTTAAAATCTTGACAATTTTCATGATACTGGGTATTGTTTCTGCTTTACAATTTTCATGATACCGGGTATTGTTTTTGCTTTACAATTTTCATGATACCGGGTATTGTTTTTGTTGCTTTCCATTTACTTTTAAACCAAATGTTAAAAAAAAAAACTCTGATAAAAAAATTTCATGTAAAAAAAAGTAATACCCAATCACATGTACTGATTGTCAGAAAAAATTTAAAATCTTTACAATTTTCATGATACCGGGTATTGTTTCTGCTTTCCATATGCTTTTAAACCAAATGTTAAAAAAACGGTTAAAACAAAGTCACTGGGACCTGTTAAATTACTACGCTATATCTGTAATTATTTGGTATATCCGAAATATTATTGATATAGTTGGGGATCCAAGATAACTTCACCATATCTGTGGATTGCAATATCCGTGTTCATACTAAATGAGTTTTACTGTAGTACAAAAAATTTAGGCTAACATGAAGAATTGAACACATGTACAAATACCAAAATGACAACTAAAAAAAAAAAACAACTCCAAGCTTCTGCACATTTCTATTAAAAAAAGTTTTACTAGAAGTTGATGTATATGTATCAGTAGATTTAACAAAGTCTATTTAAAAAGCTTCTCTAGTAACATAAATTCCATGACTGCACTAACTGCAATTCCTATATAGCCTCCAAAGGTTTATATCTAATTTCTTAAAGTTTTTCAAACGAAACATTTTTAATCATTTTCCCTCAAATTGAAAAGTCGCACTTTCATTGGACGAATGGTTAAAATGCAAACCACCAACATTTCTGTCTGACTGATGAGAATTAATATCTTGCAATAGGGCTGTATATTTATCAAAAATTTTTGGTATGTACCGTACAAGTAATAATACAATATTTTATAAAGCAATACTGTATAAGTGGAAATTTTAATGACATGCAAATTTATTGATTTGTCTTTAAAAATTGGTATTTTATTTTTAGGAAGATGTAATTTTAGCGATTTTAAATGCTCACTTAAGAAGCTATTAGTATTACAAATAAAATGCAATTAATTTTTTCAGCGATATTCAATTTTAGCCATATCAGCAACCTCACTAATAAATGCCAAAATTAATTCCTTGCTAAAAATTCTGCTTATATGGTATCCAATATATTGGATTCTTTAACAAGTCTATCTAAAAAGTCTTTTGAATCAATTGATTTAAAAAATGTTATGAAATTGAGTGTTTTGTTATTACCAATTATCAATTTCTAGTCTAATTATCATTACAATATGCACTTCAAATTCAAACTTTTACAACTTTGAAACCAACATGCTAAAATGTAGTATGTAATATAATATCATATGTATTTGGTTATAATTATTTGAGATGTGCTATCTCCTGTATGTTCATACCAATACTAATCAAATTTAATTCAAAACAGGTAAATATTCTTGAATATCTGTGCATATCTATATATTTGATACAGTTCTATCTGGTACTATTGTTAATGTCTTTGGTGTATATTTTGGTGTTAGAAATTGTTTACAACTTATACCACCCTCCTTTTTTATTTTTAATTAATGATTACAGCATTAGTCCTGACCTTTTAAGAACTGATGTCAGCTTTGTTGTTTTTCATTACAAGTGATCATAGCTTCCAGATTGGCTTAAATAAGAGAGGTAAAACATTTACAATTACACAAATTATTTGAATTTTTAAAAAAGTGCCACAATTTTTTTCAAAAACACTCGACCATGTTGATTGTGAAATTGATAATTTTGAAGAGATTGATCATACATGTTAACTCTACCGATTTAGGCGGGAGTCTACCGCTTTTTCACTCCATCTCCCGCCTACCGATTTTATTCGTAAATCTACCGCTTTTCTACAAAAGTTTTGTCTAAAGTAGTTTTTGGTTCGCTTGGGTATCCATTTTTGAAGCCATCCGTCATAAAATCTCACAAGATATCGCGTGATTTGACCCGGAAGCATTCAAATGCTTTTTTTGTACCAATGTGTACATAGATTTCAAGCACGTATTTGAAAACGACAACAGCACAAAACTCAGTGATTACATTGGTTACGATACATTTAGTCCACATTACTGCCATGAAAAAGAAGATACAGCATTTTAGAATTGGATGAAAATGTTTGACATCGTCTATAAAAGTACAGAATCTCGCAGATTTATAGTGTTGAATAGGCACTTGCCCAAGGGCAAGAAAAATTCACTTCTATAATCGCCCTACCATTAATAATGTATTTATAAATATATATATAACAAATACTGAGTAGAATATTGGCATAGATATTGATTTTATTTTTGATAATTGATTAAGTCACTTGTCCACGGGCAAGTGGTTGATAAAAACTTGCTTAATCGATCAATCATCAACTTAATTGGTAATTCAAATTTCAAATACAAAATTCCATTTCTTTATAGCATTTATCATTTATGGAACAAACCAAAAATAAAATTTTATCAAGTTTATTCTAAAGACAACTTTTTGTTGTATAAGTAACAAAGAAACAGAAAAAAAAAATACATATTTGCTCATAAAAACTAAAACATGTTTGTCATGACATCAGATTTTGCATTCCCTAGATATGGGTAAATTTCTCCTAATTGTTAGTTAGAATAATCTGTGTCTTGGTACAAGCCCTCACCACAGTTAGAATACGTCCCATATCCGCTCCGAAATGATTTCGAAAAATATAAAAGGATTTGACTGGAAACAACTACCAAACTAATCAAAACAAACCTTTTTGAGATTGCTTATGCCTTTTATCCCAAAAAATAATCCATATAAAGACGAAAATCCAATTAATTTCTCAACGTTTTTCTCTCGCTTCAAATTTACCTGCCATGTTTACTTTCGGAACTCTCTAGATTGTCCGTAGTAAATGTACTACGTACAAGTTATCGCCCGTGTTTCTTTTGCTACATGTACATTACAAATACACAGAACGAATTCTATTGTTAAACTGGGTCCGTAGGACAATATCGTTTTAACGAAAGAACGTTCTATTAAACTGGGTCCGTAGGACAATATCAATTTAACGATAGAACGTTCTATCTAATTGCTGTTAACTTCACTTCGGATGCCATTTTTGTTGACCTCTTTTCGTTTCTACATGCATTGTTAATGCGTACGTATTTATTTTGTTAAAATCGTACATGTTTATTTGGGCGAGTTTATTTGGGCGACAATCAATTGAAAAATGTAATCGATAATCGGAATCGAACACCCAAAAACGATCGACAATCGATAGTCGGCGACAATCGTTTCATCACTACAGTTTTATCAATAAAGTCAATAGAAATCACTCGATTGACCAAGCCATGAGGCACATCTCTACTTTTGTTTTCGATCATCGCGGGAAATCCGATTTATTTAACGAAAGATAGGAACTAGTTTTAGATCTAGATTAAACTATGTCATCATTTGTTGTGTTTGATAACTGAATAAACATTCAGAATTATTGCTTCTAGGCTATATCAGCAAAGATCACTCTTCAAAAGGCTACATGTGTAAGTTAAGCAGCCAATCAAAGCAAAATGATGAGCATGAAAAATTTTTGAATTTGTATAATTTAAATTATATCAAACTTAAGGTGTTTCTGTCTATACTTCTTTACAGTTGATATTTAAGATTAATTCTTGTAGTTTTCATATAAGACCAAACATGTATATATTACATGCAATATATCGTCATACATCCAAGCGTAAAACAACGTGCGCAATGCTACCGCTTTTGAGGTCTGAATCTCCCTATTTTTCATCACAACAGGTTAACATGTATGGATTGATTAATATGTGAAATTGGCATTTGCTCATTGAGAGCTCGGGACACTTCTTAGGCTTTACAGAATGAAAAAAATTTACATGTTATTTGGATCATTACTTCTTGCAGGTGAGAGCTATTAGTTGATTGGGAGAGAAAGGGCTCTGACTGTTTAAGCCGTAAACATTCAGGTGTTGGGTCCGTAGGACAATATCATTTTAATGATAGAATGCTCTTTCTAAGTGGAAATATCAGTTTTAGTGCATATCAGTGTATTGAAATATCCCCCAAAACATACAGGAAGATTCCTATCACCTCTGAAATTTGGCAATTTTTCTCTTACTTTTTCTACCCCCCCTTTTTTTCAAGTCAAAGCATTACAGGCCTGTCTTGTGTTTAGGTCTCTCACACAATGAATCTAGAGAAAACAAATCAGTTAATATGTCTGACTGTATATAGAAATATACCAGACTTATCAATCTCACAGCTTAATATGTGGGTAACATTCAAGCTACATTTCTTAACATTTGTAAAAACAGTAAAATATTTCCTAAACACATACTTTTAAGAGAATTATTTTCCAGTAAATGTCAAGTTTACAAAACCACAAGAAAGGTACTTACATGTTATTGTTTTAAACCATGGGATTACGCTATTACGGCTAAAATTCAATCCAAAAACTGTTACAACATAACAATTTCTCATTTTCATTTTGTCCCAATTTTCTTTGACCGGAAGTCCACTAAAGTTAATATGTTCATATAAATTTCGTTTTCCAAATGCAATTTTACAATACTGAGGTTCATATTGTTAACAAATATAGAGAAACATTTAGAAAAGTAAAGATGAAATATACTGAGCTATCGTTCTTTATGACTGAAGATTTGTTCAGGAAAAAGAAGTGAGTGCTTCAAACGAACGACCTACTAATAAACTGGTGTTCTTCCACAGGCGACCAGTTTTATTTAAAAAGCTAAAGATGGAAATTGATGACACCAATGTTTATGGTAAAATTTAACTGCATGGTTGTATGAAAATTATATTTTTGCGTTCGATAAAGAGAAATAGTGACCCATATAAATCTATCCCTTGGTGAACGAAAGATTCTCTTAAGTGCCTTGAAACAATATTATAGGCCTAATGAAGGATTTGGTTTGCAAAATAAACATCATTTTCTTACAATTCAGTAACATGTTTTGTCTATGGAACTTTTAAATCTTAAAAGAATTAGATGCCTAAATTAATAATGAAAACTTCGGAATGCAGCATAAAGTGCAATTCATCATGTTCATACTAATCATAGTCAATTTTTGAATTCATTGTGTAGATGATGTTATGAACAAAGTACAGACAATAGTTATTCTGTTTTAGAGAATTGGACTGGCTTTCGCCTACATCCACTTCTCTTCACAAGCCTTCATGTTGTTATTCTGGAAAATATGTAAAATGTAGAACCGATGAAGGCCTAAACTTCTACTAACATTTTGTTTGAAATATTTCTGATTTTACATAACTTTGTGCGCCCATGAAAATTGCATACATATGATATGTACCGGTGGTACAAAAATTGTCACATATATATTACCCCATTCATGGGCTTATGGCGGTACACCAAAATTCAATGAAAATGAAAATTTAAACCGCATTTTGAAATGTTTACCAGAAACCACCATTTTTCTTTCATCCTCACTCTCGCAACATCGGAAATCTCGATCAATGCGTGACTTTCTACATTTGGTTCATGTAAACAACAAAACATCATTAACAAAATTGTGAAACATTCCTGTAATAATTACATCGTAGTTAAGAGGAATCAAAGCTTTTTGTTAGGCTGAATATTTTTTAATAGGACCCCTGTTACATGTACATGTATTAAGGATTTTACCAACTGTCATTATGATTTGTTAAAATAATTTCGGTAGAAATTAAAGACAGCATCTTACATTGATTTTTTTTGTCGATATTTGTACAGTTAACTGTTTTTTGTTTAGCTATGTACAAGTATTTTCACCCAAATTCCAGTATTTTGAAGACTTCTGTACAGTGTTTGGGTTGAGAAATTATCACATGTATGAAACTGAACCCCACAAATTAAAATGATTTCACCAGACAATAAGTGTTCATAATATACAGTAATACTTGTACAATCTGAATGTTGTGTACTGTGAAATCTTGTTTAACATGATGTAAATTTTATGTCACCTTTAATAAATTCAAAATTGTTTAAAATGTTTTCTAATCAAGAATGCTGCCTTACCTGGCCAGTTTCTTAGTTACTATTCATGTTGGACAGTCTGAATTATAAAAGGCTGCGTAACGCATCATTTTCTTTTAATAACCTCTGTTGCAATGATGATGCAATCCTCTAGATTCTCCTTTTTAGCATTGAAATTTGAAAACATCATTTCCCATCAAAATATTTAGAATTAATCCAATGAATGCTATTCCGGTAATCTCAATATTCCTGCTCAGGTGCAGGAGCTAACTCCAACTGTAAAGTCATTGTGTACAACAATATTTGAGGTGTATTTATGAGTACACATTTTATGCTTCATGTTCATTATCACTCTAGTCAGTGCAGTTTCAAATCAATTTGGTATGCAGATTATTTAATTGTTTGCATTTGTACGAATTCAGAATAATATTTAAAATAAAAAGGTTGCTTCTGATAAAGCACTGCAAAAAAAGGTTCCCTGTATAATAAAATGTTTTGTTTGTTTGTTATAGATAAGATAGTGGATGGATGGGAAAGGACAGAAACAGACAGAGGAGTTCCCTATTACATATGGTAATCTTTAGTGAAAAGAATCCTAAATATGTTAACATTGCAACATTTTGTCCACAGATGCTAAGCCACATAAAGTATATACTGTATTTTATAAAGAGTTAGTGTCTACTTGTGAAATTAATTTTTTTATCCTGAAATACCCTTTCACATTGACTTATCATATTAAAGGTAACCTAATAAACCAAAGCTATATTTGGTCAATGCCCTAGTAAAACCTCATGCATATATTCTGACATTCTAAAAGCATTGTGACATCATGTATATTGTAATGTTCAAGCATGGTGTCATAGTTTCAGCTGCAGAAATGTGCCTAAATCTGGTTGAAAACTGTTTTGGAGGTCTAATGTAAAAGATATGTTGCAGGATAAACAAAATACATGGATACTTTCTTTAAATATAAGTGATATTATATTGGACTATGTAATCATTGGCTCTTTTTCTTTGGTCTTTTTGAAGACAATAACCATGTACATGTATATTATTTGATACATAAATAATTTTAAAATAATTATAATTTCCAGAGAGTAGAAACCATTAAAGATTTATAATTGTGTACATCATGTACATATTTTATGGGAACTCCCCACTTTCTCTGATGTCAATAACCTATCCTTTGGTTTCTCCCACCCACCAGTAGTTTCATTCCTGGCAATCCTTGATAAAAGTTGGGGAGATTTTGAAAAATAACAATTCTTGGATTAGGAGTTCAAATGATAAAATCATGTTCCACTAAAAGCTATGGCTCTTCCTGTCTGATAAATAATGTATTGTTGGATGCTGGAAAGGGAATCAGATAATTGTTGTACTTGAGATAAATGAAGTTTAATGATACACTGTGTGGGAAGTATTGTTTTCAATTTTTTTTTTTGCCAAAGATTACGGACACAGGTAGAGAAGATGTTTGCTACTCTTTTGTCATTTTAGTTGATAACAGATAGTTTTAAAAGCACAGAGAAGAAAATTTGATACTCTTTTGTCATTTTAGATGATCTTTTAGACAGAAAGTTTTAATACATGTAGCATAGAGAACAAAACATTTTTTCTCTGTCAGACTTTTTGCCTTGATTGAAACTTAACTAATGGTTAACTATTTTCCCTTTCAGCCACAAGACAGAGAGCACATCATGGAATCATCCATTCTATCAGAAGATGATGGAGGAATTAGGTATTTTATATGTATTTCTGAATCTGTTTGTTCTTGTGGGGAAAAAAACCCAGTAAGACAGTAAATCAAGCAAGAATACAAAACTTATTTTCACCCAACAAAGTTTGGGAAGGGGGTTGTGCAGGAGAAATATAAATTTCTGAAGATGTGTCTCGCTGACATAGGGCACATGTTATTGATTAAGATCAACAGAATTGGAGTCCTAAAATTTACTGTTAAAAGAATTTGTAGAAGTTGATACTTCATTCAATGGTTTTGTGATCAAACTTCTTACTTCAGTTTCAGTGCATTCAATATTGTTAGTACTAGGTAACACATTTTTTTATTTGAAGTGGAGAGACAGTGTTATTCCCAATAGAATACATCCTCTTCTTATGTACACACTTGTGTTGACTGCATTTGTTGATCCCCTTAATAATTCATTTAAGTTGTGAGGATGATTCCTGCTTAGTGCACGTGCAGAATGACACAAAACCCTTCCATGGAGTTTGTCATTATATGAATACATTTTTTGTATTTGTTGATTCAACTTGATTATGAATTATTTTAGTGCTAACATTTTGTCCATTTCATGTTCATGTGATTTGTTTCAGATGAATACAGAGATATTAGATATGCAGCATACAGAACTGCCTTCAAGATACGCCACGTACAAAAGCAGTTGAAATGTAATTTTAATTTACTTATTGTTAAATTTATTTTTATAAAAATATTCATTTTTAAATATTCAATTAAAATAATTCTGAATTAGAAAAATTTTTAATGAAAATTATCATTTTGTGAACTTTGCAGTGCACCATGTAAAACTGGAAGCTCTGAAGGAGATGTTTGATTGCCATGGTTACCGTGAGAGTTGTGACATGGTGATTGGCTGTGAGGAGTTACAGGAACTACTGACCAGTGTCTACCAGTCTGCTGACCAGGCGGCCAACATCACCATACAACAGACCGAAGTGTACGCCCAGCTGCTGCAGAACCTCATCCTCAATCTCTTTGACATGTAAGTATACAGCAGGGTTTTAGTAGGTACCAGAATTTAAAAAAAAACTCTGTAACTGAAGTTCCCATGAGATGTTAGTCATCGTTAATTAATGTTTTTTTTTAATAATTTAGGGAGTATAAAATCATAATCTTTTTGAAATTTATGTAGGGACAGAACAGGTTGTATAAGGGTTTGTTCAGTGAAGCAGGTCCTCATTGTGTTAACATCAGCTCGCCTGGCAGACAAATATCGAGGTGAGACAAATTATTATCATGTTATATTTTAATCTAAATTTCTAAGGGAGGATACTTTTAACATGTTTAAGATCATGGTAGCTCAGTACAGAAAATCATGCTTCTGAATATTGATCCCTTTATTTTCTCTGGGTTAGCCCTGTACCAGGAGTTGGCTGATCCTAGTACCTACATCAGCTGTAATAGTCTGACCACTTTTCTACAGGATATTAGTCAGGTAGGATGCTGTTAAAGTCTTGTTATGTTCAGAAAACTTTTTATGCATAAGAATTTGAATTGGTTTTTCTCGATAAAGGCTAAACTGTGAACTACATTGAAGTGTACCATTGAGTTTACTACATGCATGTAATTTAAATGTATTTCCAACAGTTACCAGACCTATTACAAGAAGGAGCAATTTTTAGTGGGGATGTCACAGGAACAGTTAATAGTTGTATCAATATGGTAATTTGTTATATATATTACTTCTACTTGTGCCTATTTTAATATTCTTCCACACCAAAATGATTCAGGAATTCCATTCCAAAAGGAATATCATTTAACATGTGTTGTTCATGCAGCACATGAAATATACTTTCCCAGTCGACTGCTTCTACTTTTCAGACATTTTGTAAATCAGTTAATCTTGTTTGTTGATAGGCGGACAGTAGTGTGGGGATCTCAGAGGATCAGATCTATTCCTGGCTGTTAAAGGAACCCCAGATCCTGGTGTGGCTCCCTACCTTCCATAGGCTGGCAGCATCAGAGACAGGTAAATAAATACCTCATATGTCAAGGGAGATAATATAGAGAGAGTGAAAGAAAAACATTTCAGTGAGAGTGACCAAACAAAGTTGAAAATGCAGAATGGAATTTTTTTTTTCTTTACAGTTAAACATGACTCAAAGTGTAACATCTGCAAATCCTACCCCATCGTAGGATTCAGGTAAGATAGAAGACTGTATAATTTGTGATAAAAAGCAAACGAAAGTGGAACCAATTTTTTCTTCTTTAACATTTATTCATTGAATAAATGTTGTGTGTATTTTTCCTAGGTATCGGTGTCTGCAGTGTTTTAACTTTGACATGTGTCAGCAGTGTTTTTACATGGGATGCACCAAAAAGAAACACAAGTTAAAACATCCAATACAAGAGTATTGTTTGTCTGTAAGTTTCTTCAAGAATATTGTCTTTTAATAAATGTTATTCCAAACAATAATGCTTGTACCTGCTGTCTCATTTCTGTCCTTTATTTAAGAATTTTTTTACCCTTTTCATAGAAGGAGATTAAATTTCAGTAGTAAGAGAATGTAACTTGTTTTAAGTAATAAACTTAAAAAAAAAAAAGATGTTAAATTGAATTTTTTTTCATAAAAAAAGATATAGATTAAGTCAACATTAATCTTTGATATAATCATGATAGACAACAGCCAAAGTGGACACGAAAGCTTTTCTGAAGACTCTACGCAACAATCTCAGTAAGAAACACAGACAGAAGTCAAAGAGAAAGTATCTCCCTGTTGTAGCCGAGAGTCACTTGTTCTCTCACACAACGTAAGTACTCCTTTATTTTGTGTGAAGCTTGAGAAATATTTGTTGCTTGATTTATTAAACCACCTTGTATTTGTTTTGGGGAGATATCAGAAAGTTTACCTTTGACTATCAAGGTGGGATTTTATATTCTTGTTGATAAAAGAAAAAAATAAAAGAGGTCAAATCTTGCTGAGTAAGATGTATTTGGTCTTAGAATCATTCTTTTACTGAAAAAAAAATACATAATTAAATATGAATTGATTACAGTGGGATGAGAATAGAGCCTCCAGCCCCAGATATTCATAACACACTGACTCAGAAATCCCAGCAGTTGGCTGACACTGAATCTCATCATAGAGGGCATCCTAACCAAGAGGCACTGGATCAGCAGGAGCATCTACAGAAAATCATTGAACAGTTACGGGAGGAAAATAGGTGAGTTGATGTTTTATGGTATTAGGCAAAAATTCACCAAGAAAAATTAACTTCTATGCATTAGGTATCAACAGAGAGTAAACGTTATTTCTCAGACTTTATTATTGAAAATGGTGGCATAAAGTGAAAGAGGTGAAAAGAAATATGTTAAATGAACAATGGATCAGTTTGTTGTAATTCATTTTGATTAAAGTTGCTTAAATTGCTGTTAACAGTTTAAAACCAGCATAATGAACATAATATTACTATATTGACAACGATGAGACTGAAAGAAAAGATAATGACGTTAATGAAAAAAAGGAATCCTATATATTGGTCAGAGCTTACAGATGTGAGCAATGCAATGCATTTAACAGTCTGTTATAAAATGCAGTGCAACTTTTGGCCTATGACTGGTGTGACACATATATAAGAGGTCTATATTCTTTATGTACTACAAAGGTCAAGGTCATACAAGGTAAATCAGAATGTGGTGATCTAGTTTTTGTCATTGATTTTTTTTTAAGCCAAAATAGAAACCATGGTTTATTTATTTCTACACATTTTATTTATGACCCATTTGAAATTCTGTTGATTTTTTGTAAAAATTGAATTATACATTTTCTCAGAAAACACAATTTACATGTGAATTTTCAGTTTCTGACACAATGTATGTTCTATTTTCAAAACCAAATTTTCCAGTATCAAAGTCTGATTTAAAGTAACAAAAAGCTATTTTATTTAAAGTATTACACAAATTTGACACAATCATCCAATTTAAAATAAGGGAAATTCTCAAGTCGAAGACTGATTTCACAATAGTCCACATACAGAGCTATGTGGGCAAAAAACCCAGATTTCTTTCATATTATATATAAAGAGAGATTTTGTATCCCAGAACAAAATATCAATAGCCAGAAAAATTGAATTTGAGGAAAAAGGTCAGCTATTTGGTCCTACACTTAAACCCTAACAGTTTAAAACCCTAACCAACAGATCTTAGGGAGTTCTGGATGAGGAGGAATGACAATGAAGGAATCCTCAGTACAGACAAAATGCAGCTGGTATTCCCCAGCAATATGTCATACTCAGGTAAAGACAAATATTTAACATTTTTTCGAAGTTTTTAATTTCGTAGAAAACATGAAAATTTTCACATGATTATAGTTAGTGTTCCCATCATGATTTTGAAACATACAAACACATGGTGGGAAAACAGGTTCCAAAGTGTTTGAATTTTTTTTATTAACTTCATATTAAATAAAAATATTAAAGATGGATTCTACAAGTAGGGTATAGCACTTTAAATATTATGTTTCAGAAGTTTAATAGAAGGTCATTTAATCACTTTTTGAATGGTGAATGAAGACATTGGTTTTGATTACTTCTCAATATCTCATGATTTTTTTTTTATTTCACAGTGTACTCTCTATCAAAGTGTGGTGTGGAACAGGATGAAATGCTTCAGGCAGCTTCCACCATTGGCAATGCTATGACTGAATTTGTGAGTGAAGCTATCATGCCCCACAGCAAGTAACCAAAGGGTTGACTATTTTTCTTAAGCAAAAAAAGACACAGATTGTTGAAATCCAGAAATACATGAACTTTTGAAATCCTAGCAAATCCAAGTGACATGGAAATATCATGTACACAAGGCAGCCCATAAAAAGTGCCAAAATGTTTTAAGTTGCCAGAAATCCTGCCATATTTATTGTAGAATAGATGGTCTGTGTAATTAAGCAATTATTCATACATTGCGGATATCATATTTTAATAGTTGGTTTTATGCAATTTCTCGACATATGGTGTGTGCAATAAATGCTCGTGTGGAGGCCAACTCCTCATTTTGAATTTTTATCACTATGCAATACAATGTATTATGTCTTGCCAATCTATGCAGTGTTTTATTTTGTACAATTTTGCATGCTCATTTTTAAAAAAAATTAGAAACCTTGAAATTTGTATGTATATTTGTCATAAATTTTATGCAATATTTGTAGAAATAAATTAATTTACAAGTAATTTTAAATGGGACTTCATACATTCAATATTAAGTTAACCAGCGTCATATGAATGATGTATTGCTATCCGTTTTCATCTGTCAATCAGATATTTTCAACTTTATATTTGAATGAACTGGACAAATTTTAGAAAATTTTAACAGTATGGACTAAAGAAAAATTGAACTGGACAAGAGATCTAAAGTCAGGGCCAAATGATTTAAAATTCATGCAATTAAAAAAATAATCTCATTTTGATTGTCCATCAAGCAAACAATTTGCTAGAGTAAACAAATTATATGTAACTGATAGCACAGGATCCAGAGTTTGGGGCCCAAGATGCAGCTGAATTGGGCATGTATGAAAACAACAGTTTTAGGTTGAGCTTCATATTTTGCTAGATTGTCAATATTAATGCATTCTTTGATTGTTAGTATGGGAATTAATGTCGCAGCTTTTGCAGAAAAAAAATAACCCGTATAAGCAGGTAAAAGTTGTAATTTTTTCAGTAATATAGTTTAAGTCAGGTAACATTAAGAAATTTGCACGTAGCTTAAAGGGGGGGGGGGCTGTTTTCAGATAAAGTGGAAATGTTCATTGAAAGTTGGCCCCCCCCCCCCCCCCCCCCCCCCCCCCCTCCCCAACACACACACTTTTGGTTGCTTGTCAAGTTTTTCCAAGTAAGTTGAAATTTTTTTCCCCTTGGGTTGCCCCTCTTCAATAACGATGCTACGTCACTGTATTTCATTGTTAATAATTATTTGTATAAAAAAGTTCAAAGTAATATTAAAAATGTAAAAAAAATTGTAGTATAGATCGATGTGCATGTCACTATATGCGTAATTGATGGAACAGCCGACACTCGATATCTTAGTACTGTAAATCACTTTTTATTCGCGAGAACTTTATTTTGGCTTCGTAACGCGAGACAATGTGCTCGCGAAAAATATTCTCGGTATAATTGTATTTTAGGATTATAAAAGAAATATTTTTTATGTGAAAATTTTGTCTTGCTTATTAAGAGTCGATGACTATCTCGCGAAAATAAGGTGTCTCGAAAATTTAGTGATCTATAGTATGCATATGCCCGTAGATCACGTTGAAAAAAAAAGTTAAAATATTCATAATTTTGAAAGTAATTTACAAAACGATTTAAATATAATTATACTGTTCTCTAACTTTTTATGGACCGAGTCGCAGTCTGTAAATTGATCGAACCTTGATTTTGTTTTTTCTGTAGAGAAGTTACTCGAATTCACTATTTGTGCTCCCTTTTTTCCCTCTTCGTGGCTTTTAGATTGAAATATATCTCCAGCAGGTGTCAGATGGTCCAGCAGTTGATCTTGTAAATTTCGGTAACGTACATGCAGTAATTAACATGCTTAGAAGTTACCGACAAACAGGAAATGGGGAGGAAAGAAATTGCGTCAGGCATTGGGGTCACCAAGGGTAATGCAGTGAAAAAAAGGTATTAAGTATCTTTAATAAGAAATTATTTCTTCGACAACTGAACAACTTATTTGTGAGTTTTGTATATATTATCAATTTTCAGTAATCACCCTGAAAATTAAGCATCCGATAAGGTTAGTTCGAGAAAAGCAGTTGCGGACAATGTAATAATCCTTTCCGTACCCTTCGACTCGCATTTAAAAGTTTGGTTGGTTACACTTTTTCAAAATTTCCAAGGAGAAAAGATGGAAGGGAGCACTGATAAGTACATCATAGATATAGTCAAATCATTTGTCTTGGACAGAAAGTATGAAATGCTTGGTATATTTATGGACAGTTTGGACGAAAAGAGAGAGGAAAGTTTGATGCAATATGACGAATTTTGTCGGGCTCTGATCGCTTTCAACTTCGAAAAAAGGGAGTTCGAGAAAGTTTACCACATACTTGAAGTAGGTTAATTAGATTAAATTATTTAAAGTGTATAAAAATCGAAAATCTTTTAACACACAACGGACAAAGGTTTATATTGAAGATATGGTGTTACATACTTACATTAATGATTCTATTTCAACAGACGGGAAAATTTAAGAATCCTCGAGATCTGATAGAAATCTGGGATCAGGCACACTACAGAGAACGGGAGATCATCATCAACAAACCCCTTAATCCCCTGATGAGGTTCAGAGTCCGCAAAAAGTAAACGGCTTAGCAAAGTATAATTTTCAAAAATAAAAAAAAAAGTATGAGAAGACAACGATGATAATAATTTGTTAAGATTATTAAAGAATTCATTTCTTGTTGGAAGTTTTTTTTTGGTACTTTTTTTTAATTCATGAGAATACATGATCTATGTTTTAGTAAATTCTCTATTGAGAAGAGCTATCAACTTCTCAAAAGAGAATTTGTAAACTTATTTTCCTGAAAAAAAAATAGGAGCAGGGTTGTGAAATATTGCCAAAAAGCAAAGCTTATAAATCATTATTGTTGCTAAATTTGAAATTATTATGGCTCTTAGATATCCTCCACCCAAAAATATCTGCCCCACTGGAGAAAGGCCCCAGCACAAATTACCAGAGATTGCAAGAGAGACCCTGAAGAACTGGTTTGCTGAACATGCTAACAACCCCTACCCCTCCAAACCTCAGAGGGAGGACTTGTGTAAGGCTACTGGTCTATCAGACTACCAGGTAAAAACAAAGTACAAGATTCATTCACTTTCATTTGAAATAAGTAGTCTTCAGAGGCGTAGTCACAAGCTTAAAAGTGGGGGGGCTCAAGTCCAGAAATTCTTTGACAAGCAAAAAAAAAAAAAACAACAACAAAAAAATGGAAAGTTCCCCAAACTCGAAAATCCTATTTCGCATTTCGGGGGGAGGGGGGCTCATGTCCAGAAATTCTTTGACAAGCAAAAAAAAAAAAAAAAAAAAAAATTCTTTAAAGTTCCCAAAACTCGAAAATTTCTATTTCGTGGGGGGGGGGGGGGGGGGGGGGGGGGGGTTAGTGGCCAACTTTTTTTTCAGAGGCAAGTTGCAAGTTGCTTTCAATTACAATTTTTCTACACAATTTTATTAAACAACTATATATTGCTATCATTTCAAAATAACGGTTATTTTGTTCTTCATTAAAAAGTGGGGGGGCACAGACATACTCTTGCCCCCCCAGATCTGAAAGTGGGGGGGCTAGTGCCCCCGCTGCCCCCCCTGTGACTACGCCTATGGTCTTATAATCCTTACCAAATGAGGCCAAAATAAAATTGTTTGTATGGAATTGCCTCCCACCTCATTGAAATGCTTACTCCTGAAAAAATTAATTATCATCATGAATAACTTTGAGAGACTTTTTTCAAAACGCCATCAAATAACATGTTTACTCTAAATATATTCATCGATTTCGGCGTCGTAAACTTTTCACATTTTCATCTTCTTCTCAAGAACCACCGGGCCAATTTCAACCAAACTTGCTACAAAGTATCCTTGGGTAAAGGGAATTCAAGTTTGTTCAAATGAAGGGCCACGCCCTCTTCCAAGGGGAGATAATTAGGAAATAGTGAAAAATTAAGGTCACTTTTAAAAAATCTTCTTCTCAAGAACCACTGGGCTAGGAAAGATGAAACGCATGTTGAAGCATCCTCAGATAGTGTAGATTCTAGTTTGTTCAAATCATGACCCCCGGGGGTAGGGTGGGGCCACAATGGCCGATGAAAGTTTTACATAGGAATATATTGGAAAAATCTTTAAAAATCTTCTCCTCAAGAACCACTGGGCCAGGAAAGATAAACTCATGTGGAAGCATCCTCAGGTAGTGCAGATTCAAGTTTGTTCAAATCATGACCCCCGGGGGTAGGGTGGGGCCACAATGGCCGATCAAAGTTTTACATAGGAGTATATAGGAAAAATCTTTAAAAATCTTTTTCTCAAGAACCACTGGGCCAGGAAAGATGAAACTCGTGTGGAATTATCCTCAGGTAGTGTAGATTCAAGTTTGTTCAAATCATGACCCCCGGGGGTAGGGTGGGGCCACAATGGCCGATCAAAGTTTTACATAGGAAATATAGGAAAAATCTTTATAAATCTTCTCCTCAAGAACCACTGGGCCAGGAAAGATGAAACTCATGTGGAATCATCCTCAGGTAGTGTAGATACAAATTTGTTCAAATCATGACCCCCGGGGGGAGGGTGGGGTCAAAATGGCCGATCAAAGTTTTACATAGGAATATATAGGAAAAATCTTCTCAAGAACCATTGAGACAGGAAAGATGAAACTCCTGTGGAATCATCCCCAGGTAGTGTAGATTCAAGTTTGTTCAAGTCATGATCCCCGAGGTAGGGTGGGGCCAAACGGCCGATAAAAGTTTTACATAGGAATATATAGGGAAACCTTTTAAAATCTTCTTTTCAAGTACTTCAAAGCCATGTTTAGTGATATTTATAGGGAATAATCCTCGGGTAGTGTAGATTCTAGTTTGTTCAAATCATGACCCCAGGGGGTAGGGTGGGGCCACAATGGCCGATCAAAGTTTTACATAGGAAATATAGGAAAAATCTTTATAAATCTTCTCCTCAAGAACCACTGGGCCAGGAAAGATGAAACTCATGTGGAATCATCCTCAGGTAGTGTAGATACAAATTTGTTCAAATCATGACCCCCGGGGGGAGGGTGGGGTCAAAATGGCCGATCAAAGTTTTACATAGGAATATATAGGAAAAATCTTCTCAAGAACCATTGAGACAGGAAAGATGAAACTCCTGTGGAATCATCCCCAGGTAGTGTAGATTCAAGTTTGTTCAAGTCATGATCCCCGAGGTAGGGTGGGGCCAAACGGCCGATAAAAGTTTTTACATAGGAATATATAGGGAAACCTTTTAAAATCTTCTTTTCAAGTACTTCAAAGCCATGTTTAGTGATATTTATAGGGAATAATCCTCGGGTAGTGTAGATTCTAGTTTGTTCAAATCATGACCCCAGGGGGTAGGGTGGGGCCACAATGGCCGATCAAAGTTTTACATAGGAAATATAGGAAAAATCTTTATAAATCTTCTCCTCAAGAACCACTGGGCCAGGAAAGATGAAACTCATGTGGAATCATCCTCAGGTAGTGTAGATACAAATTTGTTCAAATCATGACCCCCGGGGGGAGGGTGGGGTCAAAATGGCCGATCAAAGTTTTACATAGGAATATATAGGAAAAATCTTCTCAAGAACCATTGAGACAGGAAAGATGAAACTCCTGTGGAATCATCCCCAGGTAGTGTAGATTCAAGTTTGTTCAAGTCATGATCCCCGAGGTAGGGTGGGGCCAAACGGCCGATAAAAGTTTTACATAGGAATATATAGGGAAACCTTTTAAAATCTTCTTTTCAAGTACTTCAAAGCCATGTTTAGTGATATTTATAGGGAATAATCCTCGGGTAGTGTAGATTCTAGTTTGTTCAAATCATGACCCCAGGGGGTAGGGTGGGGCCACAATGGCCAATCAAAGTTTTACATAGGAATATATAGGAAAAATCTTTTCAAGAACCATTGAGACAGGAAAGATGAAACTCCTGTGGTATCATCCCCAGGTAGTGTTGATTCAAGTTTGTTCAAATCATGACCCATGTTTGATCTGATTCATGTTTGATCTGATATGTGCTTTTTCCTAGCCAATTGCTCAGGTGAGCGATGTGGCCCCTGGGCCTCTTGTTTAGTTTAGAATATTTTTTTATAATAAAAATGTACAAGTACTTGTGATATATATAGAGAATGATTGGTTAATTTTTTATCTTTGTTGCAGGTCAAAACTTGGTTTTCAAATGCAAGGCGTAAAGTCAAACACAACTCTTTTGGAGGCAAGAAAGAACAGGCAAAAAGCACAGCCAAGTATTTGGTGACAGATTCAGTAAAACCCCAGCTTTTTCTAAATCCCAACACAGCATCATCATTTGACACAGGTACAGTATCTTTAGAATCTAGCTTGAATAAATTATGATGATGGTTTTCTTTCTGAACAAATTTTATTTATTTTGTGATAATTCTAAATCATGTTTTCTCAAATTATGGATTTTTTTTTAATGAATAAAGGGTCAATGCAATGTAATTTAAACCATATCTGCAAATGTAATGTTCACAAAAGTATGAATTAAAGTATGCAAAATATTTTGCTTTTAAACTTTTTAAAAGAAGTATTAGAGACATAATTTCTATTTATGCCCATGTAATCGTAGATATAGGGAATGTATAATTTTCTTTTCTCTTGTCCATCCATATATCTGTTAATCTTTCTATTTGTCTGCAAAAATGTTGACCTTGTCCATAACTTTTGATTGGGAGGGGCTAGGACTTTCATATTTCACAGGCTTATTCCATGGGACAAGATCTTTCTTTGAGTACCACCCAATTTGACTTCTTGGCCTTGACCTTTGAGTTTGACCCACTTCTACTAAAATTACCAAACTTTAACCCTGACCACAACTTTTGATTTAGTTTGTGCTAGGGGTTTCAACTTCACATAAGAATTTTTGACCTTAGAGTTTGACCGTCACCCACTTTTAAAAAAAACTTGAACCCTGGCTCTAGCTTTTGAACAGTAAGCCTAAGTACTTGGGCTTTCATATTTCACAGATTTATTACTAATGACAAGATTTTCCCTTGGATACAAACAATTTTGACCTTGACCTAAGTCCTTGGAGTCTGACTTGCATTTGAGAAACTTCACCCCTCGTTATAAGCTGCTATATGGGGGTGTCAGTGTTTCACATTCACAAATACATCTTGTTTTTTGTTTAAGCAGAAAAATGGTGCAATGATTGGCAACAAAAAGCTCTTGGATATACCAGCATTTCCCAGCCGTATAATTATCAGGATGTAAGTCCATCCTATGACATGAAATTCTGGCCCAATGACCAAACACAATGTTTTAAAGGTATGTACTGGTACTATTAGCATTGGTTAGATTCTGGCTTCACTTGATAAGACCATTTTTTTTTCAAAGCAATGGAAATATAATTTTGCCGTCTTGGAAAAACGCACTTTTAAACAAATGGAAAAAATTGCTTTGGTTGATATTGGAAACAAAGTGGTACACATGCATGTTCATACTTCTAAAATCTATTCATTCTTTCTTTTTATTATTATACTTTTAGCTCACCTGAGGTGAAAGCTCAGGTGAAGTAATTGCACAGGTGGGCATTGTGGTCTATGGGCCTCAGGGCCCTCTCATGTTTTATAACAAGTTGTTTGAGTCACATGAGATGTTCAACACATTCTGTATGATGTGTTACAAATTTTTATATCTCTATAAAATACTCATTTTATGCTTTGTATTTCTTCATAAATACACCATAAAATTTCTAAATATATTATTTGTGAAATACATATAGTTGTCTCTACCAAAACAATATTGTTTCATTTATTCTTCGTTTTAGATCCAGTGTTTCCAGTAAATATGCCAAGCCAGTATATGGGAGAACCAAAATATGTGTATGGCGACACATTTTGCCAACCTTTGACCTATCAAACACCTCCAAATCAGTTTTGCAGACAGTGTTGCCTCAGGTACTTTAAATATATTATATTTTCTCATGTGGCAGCAAGCAGGCAGGTCTTCATTTATTTGTGCATGTCTTTACTATAGAATCCAAGTTTAGGCCCCAGTTAAAGTTTTGGTCCAATGAGACCTTCCTTGCTATATTTGGTGTCATGACCTGAGCATGGCCTATAGAATCCTGCTAGGGATGAACCTGCAGAGACAACAAAGGAAGGATTGGTCAGACCTATGAAGTTTTAGAGAGCTTAGGTTCAATTTTCAAATTGTAAAGTCCAGAGATTTGTTCATAAACATTAAACACTAAGTCTTCACTTAGAAATAAAGCTGGAAAACACTAGATTATAGGCCATTTGAATTTTCTTAATCATAAGCAATTAGAACATACAAGTCCTCACAACATCAGGAGTACTGAGTAAACGTGTTGCACAGAAAGCTTCTTTTTACGGCAAGTGTGTTGCTCATTAATTTTTTTTATCTTTTGTTTTCATCTCAATTTTGCAATTTAGAGAGTCCTATGAAGCTGCCTTTCAGTATCAGTATAATGGTGCAGGAGTTCAGGTATGTCATCTCCAGAACTTTGGAGTTTATGCACTTAAACTAGGAAAACAAAACATCAAGTCCATACATTCACAGTCTTATATTTATTTACCTTGATGTTAGTTGTATTCAAAACAAAAAAAAAGAAGGAAAAAGAACCCTTGCACTTAAACTTATGATTTCTCTTATCAAAGCTTTTAAAAATTTGTTTTTAAAATCATTCCTCCTTTTTTTAAATATCAAAAAAAAAAAGTTTTACAACAAAATGTGTAAATAATTTGGACATTCTTCATTTGCAGCATGGTGACACTGAGGCAGCACTGATGCTGTTGGATCTACAGAGACCTCTAATCTCAGGAGAATATCCACACATGAGCTGAGGCCCAAAACCGTGAGAAGGGGAGCTATATATCCATCCTCCCTAGTGTTATTGTTTAAAATTTTTGGTTTAGCATCAACTGAGTTGGTTGTTCAATATACTGACATATTTGTTTATTTTCTCTCTGGAAATTGCTTGTACGAGTATTTCGCTGCTTTCTCATGACTTGTACATAATTATGGTTTAAATTGTATTTATACACCCTGGTGGACCCATATACAGTGTATACCCTGGTGATTTATATTTAGACTATAATCATGCAAATGCTATCATATTTGGTTATACATATATATATATCTTATAATGATGTCCCTGCTATGGTTCAGCTTGATTATAAAAGGTCTAAAATCAAGATTTCAAGTCAAATGTCCATTTATAGCTCAAAGACACATTTGTTCCTCCATACAGCAAATTAGGTAATCATTAGAAATTAATCATTAGAAATTTATTTCTTGACCTTATTAAATTATACAATTATACTTGCATGCTTAGTCTAGACCATCAATGAATTACATGTATTTTTGTTTTTGCTCAGGTTAGAGATGTGGCCTATAGGCCTCTGTTATTTGATTTCTGTGTATTCAATGATTTTTGTTTAAATTGTGTATGACAACACCAATATCTTATTTTGCATGTTGCAGGCAGTGTTATTTATCAGTATATTGTAATTATTTATAGAATATTTTTCATGTTGATCATTAAATTATTTACTTTATTTATACTTTATCTATGCTATTTATCTCGAATAATGTTGTTCTAAATGGAATAAAGAATATTTCAATTTATTTGTGTGACAAGTTAATTTATTGGTAGCAAAATGTAAATAAGTTGCGTGTATATGTGTATGATTTGGGCCCTGAAGGACAGTTGGTAGAACACCTGATTAGTGATGCATGGTCCCGGGTTCAATTCCAAGTCCAGTCATACATTTTCTTTCTTGTTAAAAATGAATATAAATGGCTATACTGGGAATTGAACCAACTGACTGAACTACCCAGGCCAAAATTCACAATTACATTCCTCTTTTCTTCAATTGTCTTTGCCATGGAATATGCAACCACATACTCACAAGCTCACATACCCCACGCTCCCCCAAAAGTGCGGAAATTCCTGGGAAAAACAAAGGAATTGGAATTTCCTGGTAATAAGCAAATCTACACAATGTGTCCTAAATATCTTCAAAGTTTGACGAAATTGTTTGCAGCGGGTTAAGAGGAGTTGTGCTTACAAACTATTCATCTCTATATTCAAGATATGGCCTAAAATCTGAGTTGAAAAGTGAGGAAGTTCCCGGAAAAATGAAGGAATTGGAATTTCCTGGTAATATGCACAACTACACATTGTGTCCTAAATATCTGCAAAGTTTGACGAAATTGTGTGCAGCAGTTTACGAGGGGTTGCACTGACAAACTCTGTATATTCAAGATATGGCCAAAAATCTAAGTGTAAAAGTGTGAAAATTCCCAGAAAAATAAAGGAATCAGAATTTCCTGGTAATATGCATATCTACACATTGTGTCCTAAATATCTGCAAAGTTTGACAAAATTCTGTGCAGCAGCTTATGAGGAGTTGCGCTAACAAAAAAAAAAAACAGGACTGATGAACTGACTGACTGACGGGTCAGAAACATTATACCTCACGCAACTTGTTGTGTGGGTGGGGTATAATTGCTAGCGCTCGTGAATACGCATGCTTGGCTTCACGATTGAAAACTAGCATAGATAGACCGTACAATAACAATTTTGTTGTATCATTAAATAACTTTGTTTATTCATTGTGTAGTTTACACTTTAAAGATAACTACATTATTGTAATACTTCAAATTTTCCTTTTTTTCTGATGGAAAGCCTGATCATTATCTGACTATTCTAAACAAAGACAAGAGAGGTATTTTGCTAGCGCTCGGCTTCACAGACGGGCATTCTGGGAAAACATCACACGACCATAAATAGATTGTACTATAAAAATTTCGTTGTGTCATTAAGTATATAACACTGGTCTTTTCTGTTTGATTCTGAAGTTTGTTTATTTACTGTGTAACTTTCACTTTAAAGTAAACTACACAAGAAAAAACTTAGGTCATATAATGCCAAGATTCGAGACTTCTAGCCTGCGAGTTACACCACCTTCCTGGATAATGCCGTCAACCTCATAAAAAATCTCTTTTTTTCTTTTCTCAGTTTGTTGAATTAGCAAGACACAATAAGCAATTGATACAATGCACTTCTGCACTAATATAATTTTAATTCTATAAAATACACTTCATAAAAGATTATAACTCTAACTATCAGACCCCATACTCATTAAACAAAGACTTCAGCAAAATAAATTAGTTTAACATGAACCTTCCTTTCTGTGTTTAAAAATTGCTATGCGCTAGCTCACCTATCTTTTTTATTAAAAGATAAACTTGTCATCACGTTATACTGTATCAAACCTCCACAGAAAAGAAAGAAATCAATTTTCTGTATTTAATATCAAGTCTTTATTGCAAGACAATTCCATGAACTGCCTTAATATCTAACCGACAAGCACTACCAAACAGAGATACACTGATGGTAAATAACTAACGTATGTCCAAATTACAATAGAAGAAATTTCCAAGTACAACTAAAGAGGTATCTAATTCTACACAATATGTGATGGTTGAAATTAAAATGGATACAACCCAACTTTGTTGTCTTCATTTTTTTTTTTTGCATCATAACCCTTATACTATTTTATAGGCACCCTGCCAAATTAATGGTAACAAAATATGGCCATAAAGAAAATTACATTTCGTTAAAAACTGAGTATTAAAAATTGAAATATTAGATAAATATATTATTAAATTATTATAAACTTTGTTTGGATACAAATATCTTTATTTGAATGCTCTCTCTCACTCTTTTGAATAAAATGATAACTAAAATTAAATGTTTGTCAATTACAGTAACAGTATAATATACAAAAGACACTATAACACAGGATTATTCTATTTGTCAACACCTACGCTTTTAAATAGTTAACTTTTCATCAAATTTTTCTGTTGGAAAAAAAAAACAATAAATAGAGATATATTGTTTAAAAATTCTTTTACAAGTTACTGAACAAATGCCAATCTTGGTCAAGATATTATTTAGTACAAAATAGATTCCTCTGAATAACTTTGTTCTTGAAACAGTTGTAAAACAAAGAAAATGCATGATCACCCTAATAAGTGAACATGTACAATTATTAAATTATATTCTTAGACTGGTAAATAGATTCTTTGATGGTATCTTAATGGTGTACATTCCTTGAAAACTACTGCCTCTCGAAAATGTCTCGTGCCTCCTTTTATTTCAGTTTTTAAGCATTACCTGTTGTGACCTTGACCTTAACCTCAATTTTAGTTACCAGGTAATGTGAAATGTGTCAATTTTCCCATATATTACAAGGATATGAGGTAGTTTAAGAATGTGTGTTTACCACTTACTGGAAATGAGACTTTTTTAAGCAGGAATTCAGAAGGTCGTTATGCATTGTGTTTGATATTTTTAGAATATATGAATTTAAAGAGAATATTTGATTATTATTTGCACTAAAAGTACTTAAATTTTTTGATATTATTAAGATAGGTCATTCCAATTTTTTGTTTTTAGGCAACAGCAAGCATCTTGGGTTTTGACACCTGATCAGAATAAGCTAAATCAGGAGTCCCGAAATTCTTCCTTCAGGAATGTACAGCCGTAAGACGATCAGAGAAATCATTCAAAGAAATTATCATAAAATTGAGATTCTTATACAAAGATGTTCTAATTCAGTAACAAAAGTGTGAGAAAAAAAAGAAGTGATATGTGAAATCTCTGTGACTTGCGTCAACAACAATATTGCATCTCTGATGTTGAATGATGGACTATCTGAGGATTCCTGAGAGAGTGACTAGATATTACAGCTGATGACGAACATAAAGACAACACACAACAAAGCTCAAAACCGTATACATATATATATATAATGATTTAAAAGATATCTAATGAACACGATGCACTCTACCAAAAAAAAAAAAAAAAAAAACAAACATTCAAATGTATAAACCTAGAAACATTATAAAATATAAAACCACAAAGCAGATACAATAAATAGTCTTAAAAATTTACAAACACAAACAATTTGAAATGTGATTAAAAACAACCACAATAAAACAGCATGACCTGTTGGCTATGAATGCAGCCAATCATATTGCACAATACATAAATATCTCGGGACAACTGTTGTGACTATTGTGTAGCGTTGTAACCAAGAATGAAATATCACAGATTTGTGGTAAAAGCTAAGGAGATTTTTGTTAAAATATGGCAACCATAAGAATTTTTTCTAGTCCATCTAGAACTTTTTTTTTCATTTTCTATGTTCCAGAAATTTATGTGTTTGAAATATTCCACTTTTAGTACAAAAGGAGGCACCATCCTTGTCATTCTTATATTTTTCCCAAAAAAATTTTGTTAATGAATCTGCCAAAATCATCACTGTTTAAGACTATACAAATCTTGGTGTCCTGTCCTTCTGTAACTTTGATCTGCTTTTGCTGTCCGAAGACTTCTTTTCCTCTGTAGCAGTTTTTGTCCCCCTGCTAGCACTAGATGCCTTCCTCTCAGTTTTGGGCTTGTCTTTTTCTGAACTACCTTTCTCTTTCTCTAACAAAGTCTGAGTTTCTATTTTTGATGCTGAAGACCTACGTCTTCCACATGTGGCACAAGAATAGTTATGTGATTCAGATGTAGCCAGAGTAGCTGAAGGTCTGCGAGGTGAGGAAGACTTCTTATGACCCGCATCTTCCACTTTTGAGACATCTGATAGTTTCTTAACTTCTTGTGATTGACCAGTTCTACGGGGACTTATAGCAGATCTAGATCCTGTTCTGCTTGGTATAATGGCTGCCTTTCCCATCACTATCCCACTTGGACCCTTTGGGGGCCTCTGGTTATCTCGCACTGGTTTGGAAGATTGCATTTGTGTTTTTGGACCTGATTTTGTTCTGGTAACAGCAGGATTGGTTGATATTTTACTTGGACCCTCTTTGTACTTGGCACCAATTTGCTGAGACTTTTTGTCAAGTTCTGGTTCGTTGCCCGTGTCAAGAATTCTAGGTAACCCTTCAACACTGGCACTCATAACATCAACATCCAAGTTCCCTGGTTCTTCCTCCAGAAAAGTGGTTTCTGGCAAGCTCTGTCTGAATCCTGGTGGTGCTGAGGATTGCCTTTTCTGAGACCCTCTCAGATTTGGGACACTCTGAGACAGGGATCTGAAGGGAGTGTATGAAGCCTGAATACTTGGTACTGCTGTTGATCTGCTGGATCTCATGGGTACATTGCCTGCCAAGATGGAGTTGGCATTCAGAGATGACAGAGAATACGAGTAGTAGTTGTGACTGCGAGGAAGAACTGGGGATAAACTGGACAGAAGTAGAGCTGAGGAGCTGATGGAGGATTTAAATGGTTCTGTTGGTGCTTTAGAAGAGGGTTTCTCTCCTGTTAAATCACTCCTAAGGCAATCAGTAGAGGAAGCTTTCTTCACTGTATCATCATTCACCGATTTATCAAGAACATTTCTGTCACTTTCACCTTTGCAAAGTAAATTATGAACAATGTCCCCCTCACTGGCTGATGATGAGAGTCCTTTAGGTGTGGTATCTGGAGGTTTCAATTGGTTTTTACCTTCCTCCTCTACTTGACTCTCTTGTATGGTAGCCATATTTGGCATTAAATTAAAGCTTCCCTTTTCTGTTGAACTGGGTGTTGCACTTTGACTCAAGGATTCAGCAGTATTCTCTACAATTGCAATGTCTGTATGTTCTGAATTGAAATTTTGCTGAATAGCTTGGCCACTTTCAATGGACTGTGGTTGATTTTCTTGGTCAAATGATGGTAGTTTTTCTACAGGTACCAAAGCTGGCTGACCTTCAATGGTCAAAAGAGGCATCACATCTTTGATAGTGGAACCACTTTGAGACATTTCATCACTCTTTGAGGAATTAGCTGAATCTTTTTCAGCTTTCTCCAAAGACTCATCTTTTGTCACTGAATGGACTTTTTTAGTATCTTCTTCATGGGATTCAATTCTGCTTTCATCAACAGTGATTTCAGTTTCTATTGGTTTCTGTCTATTTAATGATGGCCTCTGTGTTTGTGGTGAGGACAAAGGACTGGTTAAGGAAGAAACTCCTGAGGAGATTGAGGAATCGTCCGAGTCCTCTGGAAGTGTAAAGGACACCTTGGTTTGTCTCGTTATAGGTGGTGTCATTTTTTGCACTGGGAATTCAGTATTACTCACAGTTGGGTAAGAAGCTGGCATCCTTCTCATGGTCTCTGGTAAGGATGTGGCAGCAGAAGTTGGATCCACAACTTCTAGGTCTGAATGTCTCTGGGTATCCTTTACTGCTTCATCCTCAGGATCACCCTTCACTCCTTCAATGATAGGATCACCCATTCCTGTTTCTGGTTCCACCATAGGATCATCCCTTCCTCCTTCATCCACATTGTCTCTGGGCTCATTAATTAATAATGCAGTGTTAATTTTTTTGGCAGATTCATAAAATGTTTCACTACTCTCATCTGATAGAGATTTAAAACCTTTTGAAACATGAGGCTTTTCTTTAATTTCTGACAAGGATGACTGCCTAGGAAGTTTGGGAGATTTCTGAAGAACATTTTTTATGGAAGACAAGGACAAGCTGTCAGAAGAAGACTGGCGTTGTAATGGGGGAGAGGTCTTTGATTTCTTTTCTTTCACAGAATCAGACTTTTCTGTTTTGGTACTGGAAGGAAAGTTAGCTTTGAGCCCTTTTGCTGTTGCAATAACAAAGGACTGTAAAGAAGGCCCTATGGATTTGAGGTTTTGGAGGGCACTTGTTCGGAATTTGGACTTGTCTGAAGGCTTAAGGGGATAACACATCTGTGGCTTGGAGTCGGTGATAGGACTGCTCTCTACAATTGTTATGGAGGGCACCAACATCTTCTTGGCAGACTCTGGACTCAGGGCTAGATCTTGTGGGGGGCAAGGCTTCATGATAATAGGCCGGGTCACTTTCTGAATCTCCTCCTTTATTGGTAAACTCTGGAGACGATACTGCCTGGCTAGCCGCTCCACTCCTACAATATTAAATGATCAATTAATGCAATGTTTACTAAGTATTTGCATTAAGGGAATATTTTTTCAAATGATTTTGATCATGATATAACTTCTTTAAAGAAATATCGTCTAGGTATAAAAATTGTTTAATTCATGCAGAAAATATAAACAACCTCATGCCTGAAAATTAACAACTTAACACAATGTAAAATTATCCCCATTGAAGCATATTTTTAATTAAAATAATTACCCCCAAAATTGAGTGAATTAAGAATAAGCATATACATTTTACAAGTAATCCAATGGAACATATTTCTTGTGTAAGGACTAATTTGAAGGGAGCACAGAAGCTGACTATGACAAGAAAACAATCAACTTATAGCACAGGATGAAATTCTGGGTCCATGATCTTATTTTTAAATTATTATTTTCAACTTACACAATGATCCACATTTCAACAAATAGATTCATCCTACATAGAAATGGCCCCCATTTATGTTTGAAAAAGAATCAAAAATAATACATGCATTCATCATTTAGCTATCATCATGATTTACTGCAATAGAAAATGATAAATAAAAGATGGATTATTTATAATTTGGGAATAAAATGGTTCATATAAATGAGGTGGGGGTGGAATCAAAGTCTTTAGCACACACTTACAATTTGTGGAAGTACCTAGCTTGGCAAGTCAACAACAATCAAGTTTTATAAAAGATTAAGATCATTTTCATCTTCTTGTTCATCTACTATATCTTCTACATATGGAATATAACATACTTCTAAATTTCTATCCCAAAGTTTACAATATAAATGTATCAGCTATTGACTAACATATCTACTCATCTCACTTCACTGGCCGGCAGAAAGAATACACCTTTGATTATAAGTACTAAAACCTAAAACTAAGGTCCTTTGGCTACAAAATGCTCATTGTACTTTTATGTGTGAAAATATTATGAAAAGTAAATTTGTTTTTGTAAAGGAATTTGTTCCCATACAAGTATCAATTTTTACTTGAACATTACAAACATAATAAAAATTTCAACATGAGTTACTTTCAAACATTTATATAATGCATGTAATTTATATAAATACCCAGTATCATTCTACTACATGTATGTTTACATCGTCTCACAAAATCCTATCTTCAGACTTGAAGGGAACAATTCTGAACAAATTTAGGGACCATATTTCACATTTTAAAAGTTAAATAGTTGATAGACAGTTTACAAATCATGAATAAAAGTATCATGGTGCACACATTTGGAAAAATATGCATTTAATAGAGAAATAATTTGAAAACAAGAGGCCCATGGGCCACATCGCTCACCCGAGCATTGTGGCTAGGAAAAAGTAGTAATTAGGTTTACTATTGAAAAGTTTAAATCCAAAAGTTTGGCCCCACCCTACCCCCGGGGGTCATGATTTGAACAAACTTGAATCTACACTACCTTAGGATGCATCCATATAAATATGAGCAATTATGGCTTTGCTATTCTTGAGAAGAAGATTTTTAAAGAATTTTCCTATATATTTCTATATAAAACTTTGGTCGGCCATTGTGGCCCCGTCCTACCCCGGGGGTCATGATTTGAACAAACTTGAATCTACACTACCTGAGGATGCTTCCATATAAATATGAGCAATTATAGCTTTGCTGTTCTTGAGAAGAAGATTTTTAAAGAATTTTCCTATATATTTCTATATAAAACTTTGGTCGGCCATTGTGGCCCCGTCCTACCCCCGGGGGTCATGATTTGAACAAACTTGAATCTACACTACCTGGGGATGCTTCCATATAAAGATGAGCAATTATGGCTCTGCTGTTCTTAAGAAGAAGATTTTTAAAGAATTTTCCTATATATTTCTATATTAAACTTTGGTCGGCCATTGTGGCCCCGCCCTACCCTCGGGGGTCATGATTTGAACAAACTTGAATCTACACTACCTGGGGATGCTTCCATATAAATATGAGCAAATAAAGCTTTTCTGTTCTTGAGAAGAAGATTTTTAAAGAATTTTCCTATATATTTCTATATAAAACTTTGGTCGGCCATTGTGGCCCCGCCCTACCCCCGGGGGACATGATTTGAACAAACTTGAATCTACACTACCTGAGGATGTTTCCCCATAATTTTCATCTTTCCTGGCACAGTGGTTCTTGAGAAGAAGATTTTTAAAACATACCACCAAATTTTCACTAATTCTCCATTATCTCCCCTTGAATGAGGGCGTGGCCCTTTATTTGAACAAACTTGAATCTCCTTCACCCAAGGATACTTTGTGTCAAGTTTGGTCGAAATTGGCCCAGCGGATCTTGAGAAGAAGTCGAAAATATGAAAAGTTTACAGACAGACAGACAGACGGACGCCGGACAAAATGTGATCAGAAAAGCTCACTTGAGCCTTTGGCTCAGGTGAGCTTAAAAAGAAGAAATCAAAAAGAAACAGAATGAGAACACTGCAGGACACACAAAGGTCAACTGAGGTCAAAGGTCAACAGGCTACTTAAGGCATCAAGATTCAGTGCGAACTAATCATGCTTCATTACCTGTGTGCCATTAATACCAGCCAAAAGTGGTCTCTCCTACAATATTATGTGGTACTAGTAATTCAGTGATTCAATAAACAGTTCTAATTTCTACATCAAAATGATAGCAAATCTTAACTACATGTATAAGGATATTTGGTTGAATATGCACCAAAACCAATTATGAACCTGCACACTCGCTCATTATTTTGTGAAGTCAAGGCATTCTTGTTTTTAATTGTTGTTTTTTCAATCAGTAATGTATTAAGTTTTAAACATGCCAACAAATACACATCCGACATATGGTCTCATGCATGACATTCTTAACACAATGCATGCAATTACTATAACACTGGTCTTTGGAAAATTTGGAGCACCCTATCCCCTGTAGATGTTACAGCCAAACCAAATGAAAAGGTGAAAACTGGGGGTTTAAGGCTACTAAATAGTAAACAGAAGTTATTTTTTATTCCTATACAAATATTAATCTTTGTCAGTAACAATTAATTGTAATAAAAATAAATGTTTTCTGTTAATTATATTTTAAGTTATAATGTAATTACAAATGGAAAGATCAAAAGCAAAAATCTGAATTTTAGCAAGAGATTTTGAAGTACATGTAAATGGAATATATTTCTACTGCCAAAAACACCCAGTTTGTAGGCACAGTGAGATGGAGTTGGTTTAAAACAGTACAACATGACTTACATTTACACGTAGCCGAGGAAATCAATTTGAACTGTAAATCAAGATGCAAAAACATTGTTATTAGTGACAACAACAAAGTTAAGAACACAGAGTTCAATCGGGGGTAAAATTAGATCAACACTTACAAAATAAACCATCAGTTATACATTAAGCCATTCCACAACAAAAAGGTGTTTATTAATACTTATTTCTTATTACATATTGTAAATCATAATTCAATTCACTATCATATTTTTTAAAAATAAATAGAGGGACAAAATGAATTTCAAGGTTAGTATAAAAGTGGCAAGTTGTAATATTTATCTATGGCCTAGAAAGCAATGTCACTATCCTTTGATGAAATTCAAATTTAAATGTTCATAATCATTTAGTTTTCAGCTTTTTATGCCATTTATATGCAACAAACAATCAGACAAGTTCAACATCTGCTTTCTAAGCTATGGTTGGTAAGTAATATTACAGTAATGTATACACACAGTTAACGAGAGAAGTTGAAAATTAATAAAACATATCACAAACTGATGAAGTTTTAACTTTTTCTTCACATTCCTATTATCAAAAGCATTTTCCAAAAATTCCAAAAGCACAATCAATTAATGCTCTAAAGAATATTGCTGCAACTCTTCACTATGATAAAAAATAGTCTTTTTATCAACATCCTAAGTTAAAAGATACAAACTGACTGTATATTAACAATGCTTACATGCAACTGTCTACATACAACACCATATCTGATTCTGCTTATATTACTTTATAAATATCCTTGTAAAACTGTACATGTATATAAATCTTACATTTCCTAAACTAACTAACCACATTTCAAATTTGGCTACCCTTTTAAAGTAATTCTTGTGTTCTCTGACTAAATGCGTCTTCATTTTTTATCACATGTTTATCTTTTTACCAAATTTTATAACACTTGTTGTATAAATTGAATTAAAATTACATGTACTGGAAAGTATGTAAAATAAGATAGCAAATAAGTGGTCTTTAATTGGATAAAGTTTTGTCCATCTTGTGTGTTTTCTATTATTCCATTGCCAAAGGTTTGTGGATAGAAACAACACTTATCTTCATGGATTCATAATTTATCCAAGAACAAACCATGGGAGATCCTATCTATATATAAGGAAAAAGATATGTGTTCATCTAGTCATATTCTTAACATGCATGTGAATATTTCATGTTTTTCAAAATACATCAATATCCATGCCTATAAACACCAGTGTACTAATCTGGCAAGCACAGCTATCCACAAGTCTTGACTTTACTTAGCATATTCAATATAATCACACAATATTTTACATGCAGCTTGTTACCTAGTATTTATTTGAACCATGCATGATATCCACACGATCTGCAGTTCAAGGGAGAAAAATCAATGGCAAGGGAAATCACTCAATCACATCAAACTCAGAAAATTCACTTGAAGTGAAAACACACAAAAATTCAACTCAGAAAATTCTTTTAAATGAAGTGAAAGCACACAATCAAGCAGGAGTAGCTATACTACCTTTGCAAGTTGTTGAAGAAACAGAAGAATTTGCATGCTGGGAAGAAAAAGACTCGTCAGGAAGATTAATATCTGTGAAGTCATCGAAGTTAACATCATCATCTGAAAGGGTCACCAACAAAACTCAAGGCCATGCAAAATTAACAGGAAAATGCACAAGATTTCAAAATTTATTTCTAGCAAGCATGCTGTTTCCTAATGCTTAATCAAATTTAAAGTTATCTGCTACATATTAAAAAAGAAGAATCAAATTACTGGTGAATAATCATATGTATTTAAAACTTTTTTTCCTAAAATAGAATTTCAAAGCATAAAAAGATTACATGTAGCTTGGCAAGGCAATAGTTTTGGACTTTTATGGTACAAGTGATAAACACTGAAAGCACATATAAAGTCAAGGCAAAACAGAATAGGCAACAGTATAAAACACAGCGGACATTGTTTTCCCTGATTGTCATAAAGGACAATACACACAAAACACCATCCAAATATGTACAGAACGCTACAGGCATGCAGGCTACAATAACACCCTCAACAGAGAAACACACAGGGGAAGGATTCACACAACGCTTTCCTTGATACAAACACAGTTCATACAAATACATATAGGTTATTACTGTATACACACATAGAGAGAAACAAACACTTATTTGTACATGAACATGCTTTAGAATTTATAGATTTAAAAAAAAAAAAGAATTTCTGTAATATCTTATGGTACATGTAAAACAAATAAGAATTTGTTGAATAAATGAAATCTACCAAAATTATGCCTCGAATAATGTTTTCAAAAATATTATAAGCATATAATCCTGAAAAAAAAACACCCTAAGTACAAAAAGTAACAATTCAGACCTATGTACATGTACAGAACATTAGTACGATATAGTCCAGTATAAAGCCAGATACCATTTCATAACATTTCCTCAAAGACAAGGACAGATAAGCAGCGTAAACAGAGAAGAGTAACAAGACAATGCTGCCATCATGTGGTGTTAAAGCTACATTGCTAGAGTGAGGTTAATTTTGTTACCCTCGGACACGGCTGGGGGCGAAGAACTTTTCTTGTCAGTGCTACCAGGTAAAACGTAATCTGTATCAGGGGTCTGGAATGAAAATATCTGTCATGGCATCAAGTGTGTCAATGATATTTGATTTCCTCCAACTTTTCAGTACAATGTTAATTTTGTTCAATGAATCTAAAGCCTTCTCTGCTTCAGAAATATAAAGATGATACAACTCAATTCAATTCCCAAAGAAAGTTGAAGTTGAATCCTATATTTTTTTACAACAATAAATGGCGCTAATATATGATGATAGTAAGTGTCATCAACGTCTAAATCAACAATGAAATAATTTTGTTTAAACGTTGATCCAGCACACAATTTCAATATCCAGGTACAAATTTCTCTTTGAAAAAATGATACTAGATGTATCTTTTTTGACATTCATTAATAATTTAATGTAAACTTTTCTCCAACCCCTGTAGATAATGAGAAATGCCTAAGAGGTCTACTTTAAATTAAAGAATTTAACACTGAAATACAGTGAAACTTCTCCAAACCGGCCCCCCTGGAAACCGGTTCTCCCTGAACATCGGCCAAATTTATTAGTCCCGGCAAAATTCTTAACATTTCTTTACACATAAACTCTCATAAAACCGGCCACCCCTGAAAACCGGACACCGGCCACTTTTCCAAGAACAAAAGTTAAGAAACATAGGAAATTCACCCTCATCATACCGGCCACTTTTTGATTGCAAGAAATTTAATTGTCATTTGCCAGAAGGGTAATAATGACCGGCCGGAGGTGTGAAAAATAGCCTACCCAGAGGTGTGAAAAACTGAATATGGCCTCCCAGGGTTTTCTATTGTTTAGCCGTCTTGAAGGGGTAGTCATCATGCCAGACTACGTAAATGGCCGGTCTAAGCTGTGTACATATGATTAACATCAATTAAACTTGAATTAATAAAATATCAAGCAACTAATAAATTTAAATCACAGAATGAATTAACAAATTATCGCACGCCATATTGCATCATCTTTTTAAATACACATAAGCGGCCTTAAAATTGGGCACTGTTAAAAAATGCTAAGAAAAAAAATAAAATAAAATGTTAACCAAAATATACATTTCATAATTAAATTAGCAGAAGTTTTGCTCAGAAATGTTTTAATTATTTACATTTAACTGAAGTACAAACAATTTTTTTAATGACGTAAGCAGATACACAGATACACATGCAGTATTCTAGAGTTCAGTTAAGGTAAAGGGTCTGGTTTATTTCTTCGCATATGGTTATTAAAGTAACTCTCCACGTTTTTTCTGTTTTTATTTTTTAATTTCTATTTATAAAAATCAACATGTATGTGGAATTTATCCTCACTAATAATAATTTCCATTTTTTTAGACCGTGAGAGTACATTACGTGTCTGCCGATAATCAATAACGTGTTGACAAATAATTATAACAGACACTAATTATATATTTTTCCTAGCATCTGTCAGAAAGTTCTGCATTTCTTCAGTATGTTAGATTAAAAAAACCGGCCACCCCTACTAAAATCCGGCCATTTTATTCAGTCCGGCAGCTGGCCGGTTTAGAGAAGTTTTACTGTATAAAATGTCTGCTGGAAAAAAAAAATCACATAATCAGTTTTTCTAAGAATCTACATGTATAGTGTAGGAATGTAAGAACTAATGTGAGAAAAAATCTGATGAAAATCTCTGTTCAAACTTTTAAATCTACCAATATACTGCAAATTCATTAGCACTATAAATCAACTCTAATTTAAATGGAAAAAGGAAACCAGGGGACACAACTCCCAAAAGCTCTCTGAAATCTGTAATATTGATGAATCTTGAATGTTTAGGCATATAAAGCAAGCACTAAGTATTTTCAACACTCTTTTACCTTTTATATTAACCGTACAAGATAATCTAAAAATAATTGAACATTTAGCTATAACATATAAACTGCATGTGTTAAAGAAACTGTCATCAAAAAGAGGCCCATGGGCCAAAGAGTTCACCTGAATCATAGTTGCCCTCTTTTCAATTACCAAATTTAAGAAAGAATTTCATCTTTATTCACATTAAAGATTCTTAATATGAATGCTTGCATATCAATAATCATGGTCTGCTGTTCTTAAAAAGATTTCAAAACATTTTCCCTAATATATAACCTTTAAACCAAATGTCCTTAATATGATAACATATTAATATCACTTATCAAGGTCTTGTTTCAGAGAAGATTTCAAGAATTTTTTTTCTCATACATGTACATGATACCCTCAGGATAAACTTTGACCCTCTAATAATTTAGGTAAAAATGAGAATTTGAAAGATTTTCATATATACGCAAGACAGAAAAGTTCACGTGAGACCCTAGCTCAGGTGAGCTATAAAAAAGATTGCAACCTACAAAGCAACAAAAGTTATTGAATTAAGATCGCTTCATGAGAAATAAGTACTGATCATTTTTTAGTTGTTGATTTTTGAACTTGAGAATTACCTTTGAATCTTATATATAGTAATACATATATTTAGATTTATAATATGAGATACACACCTTAGATTTGTTATCCTCTGAAACATTCAACAAGTGCAGGCTCCCCTCTTCAATGCTAAAAAATAACAAGTAGTGTATTGAAAATGGACAGCTAAATCTGCAAAGTTATGTATAACAACCCCATATTCAATTTCCGTATAAGAAATACATATAGATTCTGAGTGTCAGATTTTTTTTTCAATACCTAGATCTGGTTCTGTTAGTTCTCTCTTTGGTTCCACCAGATTCCACTAAAAATTGAAAAATAATTAAGATTTCTACTTTTGTAATCATAACTAAAAAGAAACCAATCACAAGTACTGGTGGGCTTGATTATTACTGTGGTTACCTGAATGACCCGTATCTTTCTCATGCCTGTTTTGTCCGTTTACTGACAAGGATTCTACAGGTGTTTCTCCTGGTATCAACTCATATTCTGTCTCCGGCCCAAAGATTTCCTGTTCCAATACAGAAGTGAGAATAAAGAAACAAGTAGATTTTAAGTGTCAATACATGAATATAGCAAATTTTAAAAACATTTCCTAACATACCAGCATATCTACAAGTAGTTGATCTATTTGAGTACAATCAAAATGAAAACCACTAAAATCTTGAACCAGCAGTACAATTAATCACCTTGACATTTGCTATCAGCAGTTCCACTGTACGAGTTTGATGAGGCGTGTCAACTAATGAAGCAAGGCTTCCCGTCCCTTCCCTGTAAAAATTCACAACAGCAACTTTTAACAAACTTTCCAGCAATTTTTAAAAAAAAATTTATAGCATTTGATTTTTTTTTTTTATTTTCCTCTAGTTAAATAAAAATTCTGATTCCATTTTAAGTACTTTTTAGGTTGTCAAGTAAACGCTGGTGAGCTCAGGTGAGCTAAAAGTAATACTTATTTCAATAAACTCACAATGGCCTCAGAAGAGTAGGTCCAAACACAATACCCAAATTACTGGATGTCATCTGATTTGTACTGCTGTAAGATGCTATCCTGTTAAAATAAATTTAGTGAAAACTTAATAATTGAATATAAAATAAGGAAAAAAAACAATAATTATGGGTTAAATTTCCATAAATATCACTAGTATTGATGTAATGCATTGGAAAGAGAATATCAAAAGAGGAAAATGTTTTCTTAAGGGAGATAACTCTTCATATCAATTGAATAACCATACCTTGCTAGATGATGCATTAACATTGCACATGTTTTGAAATTGGAATAAGGAAGTTGTGATGCCAGGTCCCCTAGTTTGCTGACTGTGTCATCTTCACTCAACACATTACCCATGTTATCCTGCATCATAAAATCAATAAAAATTCAATAATATCAATGTTCAATGAGCAAAGTACATGTATCTTTTGAAAAAAAAAGATTATACAAATTAATTAAAAACAATACTTTAGTTTTAAATCTTTCTATTGAATTTTAAATTTTAAAAAAATCCTAATGCTAGTATACTTATATTTTTAAAAACGAGAGAGAGAGAGAGAGAGAGAGAGACACACAGAGAGAGATTCTCTTTTCCTATTTGCTCATTACAGTGTATGCTATACAGACCTTTGCAACTTGTATAAAACTGGAATACAACTTAAAACTTAGAAGTGGTTCAGGCAGCTGAAAAGAAAAAAATTGGCACAGTTGAATAAATGCATCACTTGTACTTTAGCTACAGAATGATTGCTCCAAAGCTTTATCTGACTTTGAATATATTTAAAAAATACAAAAAACAAAAATACTTCACAAAAGAGTTTATGAATAGAGTAGGAATGTTACCTGTCTAAGGTAGAGTTTGAGTACATTAGATATAACATTAGGATGCTCATCATCCAAGTTCACAGAATCTGGATCCTTTTCAAACCTTGAACACAATGCCTCTACTTTACTTTTCACTCCCGACATTCTGTATATGCCCTAAAAATTAAGAAAACAATCAGACGGGTAATCAAGAATCACTTTTTAATTATACCAGTATAAACTAGAAAACTGACCAGTCAGCAAGGGCCCCGCTGAGGGGTAGAAATACAAGGGTGCGGCTCATTGAATGAGAGTTTTACTTGATTACATTTTTTTTATTTAAATATATGAAGATTATAAGTAACAACTGTATTTTTAAAATTTCAAGATAATTCCTGAATGTCCTAAAACCTATAAATAATAACCTTGTATTTACATAAAACAGGGAAAACCTCATTAAAAAAAACACAGGTGTTTTATAAAATGAAAGCCTTCAGTGAATGCAAATACACACCTCAACTTCAAAACAAACATCAGTTGCAGACAAAGGTGTTCATTAATCTTCATGTGACAGATAAAGACAAGCCTCTAAATTTTCTGCAGCAAGCAAGATAATTAGTCCCAGAGGATTAATTGTACTGCTCTCTCATCCTTTTCTTCTAAATTTACAATAAGAAGTTTTTTCAGCACTGACAGAATGGGGTTATTATCTGATTACCTGTTAAAATTAACAGCATTAAGGCAGCAAAAAAAAAAAAATAATGAAATAAAATAAAATAGCAATAATATAAAAAGATATCTTAATATATATCTTGATTTTAGAATTCAATAAAATTATCATAAATCATTGTGTACAGTATTTTAACCAAAATAAAGTATGAACATTATTTTAAATCCATATTTCAGAGAATGTACACATCATTCAAAATTGACCTTAACTTCAAAACAAAGTTCATTGCAGACAGAGGCTAGTACAGTAATTAACCTCAATATGACAGATAAAGATAGTGCTTAGGATTTTCTTCATGTGGAAGGTTAATTAATCCCAAAGGACAAATTGCACAGCCTTCCCAGTTTACAATGGTAACATTCTCAGCAGTTATCTCTCTTTGCCCATTCATTCTTATGCATAGTTAAATCTACCCACCACCCCAGCTCCAAACCAGAAAGCGTAGAGAACCAAACTTAGCATCAAAATATGTCTTTCTGCCTCCTGAACTACCATACCAAATTTGAACTTGATTGGGCAACCATAAAAAAAGTTATTAGAAAAAAACAGAAAATTTGTGGACGGAAGAATGACAGACGGACAGACAGAGTGATTACTATAGGGCACCCGCAAATCCTTGCGGGGCCCTAATTAACACAGGAAAGATCATGCTACACACACTAAATGAGAATCCTATTAAAAGAAGAAGGTATGGTTTAGGCTTTATTGTGCCCTAAAAATTTCATAAAGGTATGAAATTGGCTTTTACAGTAGTTGAGTAGATAAATATGATAAATCATTAAAGAATGTGGCATGATGGAAGGCCATTCTGGAAATATGACGTCACTAATTTGGAACATTTCTAAGTTTATTGCAGAAAACCCTGAGAATGACTCATTCTGTGCTCGTTTTCCTTTAGAAAATAGTGTCTGCCACCATTGCCCGCATCAATTTTTGAATATATTATGCGAAGTGCTTTGAAAATTCACAAATCTCAAAATCTTTGTGGGCGACGGTGGCAGAGTATGTTTTCTGAAGGGAAATTCCACTGAAAATTGATGTTTTCTGCAACTTTTTAGAAAATACGGTAAATTGCACAAGTTAATGATGTCACAATTAGCATTTAGGAGGTCATATGAGAAAAACGATTTATGTACTCTTACTGCATGGAAATCCTATGATTCAGAAAGAATGAATTTTAATTTCTTACATCACTTTCATATTTTTGAAAAATACAGGGCTTACTGTGTATTGAAAGTGTACCTTGTTCTTAGTCAATTTAGAGTCGTTCATTTTTTAACTGATAAAATATTTTCCCAAAATATGTACTTAATAGTAGAGATGTACATTGTACACTATAAAGGCAACAAATGGAATTGATTTTAAGTAATACTTCAGTGGAAAAATAGATATACATGTATGTCCAATAATTCATTAATTTACAACCATACATTTTGCTTCCTTTACCTTTATTAAAATGCCCCTTTTTTCTATCTCTGTTAAACATTTTGTCACAATACAAGGAATTGCTGAATGACTTTTCTCCACTTGTTCCTGAAAGTCTACACCAAATGTGGTGTTACGACGTTTGTTCTGTCTCTGAAAAAGGCATACACTTTTGTATAGAATTTTAAAAACACCTTTTAACTTATTTATGCACTTTTTAATTCTGCACACTATTCCACAGAACTTTACAGTAGATATGAAATGTTATTGATAAGACTCAATCTCTTACCTTTAATAAAGCTTGTAGGTCTAGTTCGGTAGATGGTAACCCAAGCAAAATAGCTTCACCTGAAACACAAACATACATTTACTCAGAACTGAAAGTAGACAAAACAAGCAAGGCCCCACAGCATGATTATGTATTTTGATTACAAAGAAAGGGACTTTAATAAAGATCCAATGAAAAATATCCTCTACTCATCTAACCAAACACTGACAAAAAGAATAATTTCTATAAGCACCCACATTTTCATCTTAACAGATTATGTACATAATAATAATATTTATAAATTTGAATAGGGAAGGCTCTCTAAGGAGACTGAAATTTACTTAAATACATGCATCAAAGATAAACATAGTCAAGTCTATGCAAAACAAGTAAACATAAGCCATTACCATCTGTTTCCTCCAGGTCGTCAAGTGAGCCAGATTTGACAAAGGGTTTGCGTCCACTCTGGTGGGGACTACTACTGGGGGAGGACTCCACGGACCGACTGCTCCCACTGTCTGATTCACTTACTAGAGTTGTCCCCCAGGCCTTCACGCGGTACCGATCTAAACAAGACAGTCAATAATAACACATGGTACCGATCTAAACAAAACAGTCAATATAAACATCTGATCTACAGAATCAAGAATTCCTATATCATAACTTTACATTTAAGAAGAAGAAACAACTCAAGATGATATGCATTATTTAAAATTCATCAAAACAAATTTGTAATTGTTGTAATCAGTCCAAAACTATTTGCTCAATCTTCAAACATGCAGTTAGACAGTATTTCAGGAAAAGTTAAATACATGCACATCTTCTCACTCAAATTTTGCACTTTAATTTATCCAGAGATGAAATATATGGAAAACAGTTTGAAATCAATATCACACCATTTCTACCCATTAAAGGAGATCCATCCTGTAACTGAAGATCATTGGAGGACGATGTAGACTGACCACTGGTCTTCCTCAACTGAGATTCTCTACAAAAACATTACACCAATAAATCCCTGTTACACGTGTGTTACTTTACATTAAATGTTTTCCTTTCAACAAAAATTTTTTATGCGATACGTTTTAAGTTGTACACTTTTTATTAAAAAACAATCTAAATTAAAGAATTATTTACAAAATACCAAAAAAATTCCCTACATAAAGTTAAAAATTTTGTACCTTGAAGATATATAGGGCTCGAACACAAAAGCGTCTTCTTTCATGGGAACATTAGTGGGGGACATGGAAACACTGCGTACAAAGGCCCCGTACTGTGAGCCTGGTTGGTAGCTGTCACTGGCCTCATAGAGAGTCTGGTACTGAACAGGAACGGGGGCAGTCACGGTGTGGAGGAGATGGAAGTAATCCACCGTCACCTGTAATATACATCAACATAGGACAGTCAGGAACAAAAATGGACTGAATTATCTTAAATATCACATGTGTAAGACAATACTTACAGTTTTTATAACTTGGTCACATAGCAAAATCTGCTCTCTGATCTTTGACAGAAGTTCACTCTACAAGTATAAAATATAGATGTGTTACAGGTTACTTCACAGAAATGTTTACAATAAGCTACTGCAATTTTTCATTTGCTTCTAATTAAATGAAGTTCTGTACCTTAGTTTTGCCCAGTTCTTGCTGCTTGGAATTGGCCTCCGCCACACACGCTTTGTACGTCGTCTCTGCCTCTGCTGCCTGTAAACCACAGAAAATCAATCATTATGAACTTCTTAAACAAATCCAGAACAAGCCAATGCTCCTATAAACTAAGCCTTCTTTACCTTGTGCATTGCGTCCTCCTCGACTTTCTTCTTTTTGTCCATCTTACTGAGTATACTACTGCTGTTACTCTTGTCTAGTAAGTCTGACTCCACCTTACTGGACTGTTCCCGGGCCTTCTCGTATTCCTGCTTCCTCATTATGTACATAGAGTGGGACTTCCTCAGGCTGTTCACTGCCTCATGCTGATAAAAACATGAAACCAGTTTCTCAGTAAAAACAAAACAATATGTGTCATAATTCTTGAAATGAAGGTTTTGAAAGACTAACTGATAAAATAACAATCATTTTCATTATCCAAATATTTGAAAAGAAATAGTGCCTAGTCCCTAACGCTTCATTTGGAACTGAACTAGACTTTCAGAAGTATCTTGTACATGTTAAAAGACATATATACATATTGCATATAAATTCCTCTAAGTAAAGTTTTTACCATTTTCTTAACTTCTTTCATCCACATGTCTTTAATTGTCCTCCTCATCTTGTCATGCTCAATTCTCCTTGTGGTTAGAGGCTGTTGAATAGGAAAATATAACAATTAATTATTTAAGGAATGAATTCTTGCCAGATTAATGAATTATATACTTTATAATCCGCGAAGAAATATAAAGGTAGATAGAGAAACATATTAGACTCGAGAGAGATTAGGTCATTCCTTATAATTTAATTTTAAAATAATTAAACAACTGGGGATGTAAAATTGTGTTGTTTTTATTAGTTCAAATTTCAATAATACAACCGTAGTAACGGAAGTGATGGGAAGCAAGGGGAGGTAAAAACTGATACAAATTTAGCAGCCATGATGCTTGTTTACATGAGGTAAGATCAAGCAACTGTTTGAAGTTAAAGGTACATTCATTAAATCTGGAATTTTTCATGAATCCGAAGGACTGGAAATGAGGGGATTGATTACAATATTCAGCTGGTTGTCAAAGGGGTGTGTCCCCATACCAAACCAGATTATACAAAATGTTATGCGTTCCTTTTTGGAAATCAACCAATGAGAGACAAGAATACAAACAGAATTAAATTATATACATGTACATGAGTGGAATACAGAGGTAAATGTAGACAGAGAAACAGAGAGACACACAGAGATATCTAGTTTATTTCTGACATACCTCCACAAATTTCGCTGACTGAACAAGGGCTTGAGTGGCTTGACAAGTATTGGCATATTCAATATCCTACAATACAAAGAAACAATGTAATTATAGAGCAATACATAGAATTAGTATTCAACTACATCATGTTTCCTATGAAATACTATAATGATTTCCTAGTTAACAGGTACTTATGAATCTTCAATACTGATCATAAAAATTTGGAATTAAAAAAAATTGTGCTTAACAATTTGAACCTTTAAAACTGTTATAAGTTGCAGAAAATATTTACTTAACATCCATAGACAGATAATTTTAATAATTCCACTTTTTTTATAATAGTATTTTGATGACTTACTTGTGAGATCATTGTACAGAACACAGACTGCAGAGGTAAGTAGTCCTGTAAAAGAAACAAGAGGCCCGTTTACTACAAAGCTTACCTGAACAATATCTCCCCAGAGAAATGTATCAACACTGAATGTCACTAATGTAATAATTTGATTATTTTAGCCTCGTATTTGTTAAACATTTTATTCAACCATGATACCCAGAATTTCTATAGACCCTTGTATACCCTCCAATTACACAATCTAGAAAGCTGAAGATTTTTAAAATAATCATTCCTATTTTTCATTTTCCATTTTCATTTTCCATTTGAGGAAATATACAATTCATCTGCAATAAGGTTTTTAACCACAATTATTTCTTACATCCTAAAAAGGAATTTATGTCAAGTTGTTTGGGAAAAAAATAATTCTGATGAAGGATCTACAATACATAGGGAAAGACAACAAAGCATAAGAAATGTTCATGCAAGCCTTTAGATAAGATTGAGCAGAAAAGAGATATGTAAATCTCCTTTCTAAAATTTGTAAGGCTTTGATAATTTGCTTTCTGTAAAGCTCTATGATATAATAGACAAAGAAATAGAAAATTTTGTGTACATTATTCTGTCATTAACTGAAATACAATCACCATAATTACCTCTTCTGATAGGACGGGAAGCATATTGTTTGCCAATCGAAGAAGATTCTTGGAGTAATCAGTTTCTGTAAAATCAATCCAAATACAATAAATAAATTTTCTTGCCTCTCAATAAGGAACGTTATTCTATAGTCCAATACAGAATTAGGTATGTCAATGCAACAGAAGAGAGCAAAAAACTATTGCTCCCTGACATCAATTCAACATGTCTATAACTCAGGAAGTAGATTCCACTTCAATACAGTCTCAATACTTTTTTTATGATACACACTAGACAGCCTATAGCCATTTTTAAGATTACTCTCCAAGATCTGTTGAATGATTTCATTCAATTTGCATGGCTTACCTAACTGAGTTTTTTTCTCTATATAAGTTGTTATTTCTTTCATATACTTGGACCATGCCTTGGCCCTTTGCATTGCCAGGTCCACTCCAGCTTGTAACCGCAGCAGCACCGTATCAATTTCCTCAGGATTCATCACTAATGGATAAAATAAAACAAATACAATAATCCACACAATGTCAAACAATGCACTTCAGGATATGGAGCACTTTACAACTGCACAGAAATTTAAAGACAAATAAGCTTTTTTTTATGCCAACAACTCTGTTTTAAAGAGGATGTTGAAGGCTTTCCTGATGCAGCAGTTTCATGTTAAATTGCTTTGCAGCAGCCATCAGTAAGAGAGAGATGACAGAAGCTGCAACCAACATATTCATTAGCTGACATGCCACCATCCCAATTACACACAATGGAAACCTGCCTTACCATTTCATCACACTTAATGAAAAGGTCAATGTTACCTCTTGGGACTAATATGATAGGTCCTTTGAGAACGATGCCCGGGTTTCTACATAAAACACTCAATTACATCCTATTTCTGGTGAAATTCTCCCCGAGTAGGACAGGACTCTTGTGTAGCTTGACTGAATGCCTCACATTATTAGATTTTGTCCTTACAATAACTTACTATCTTGAGTAGCCTGTTCTGCAGCACATAACCCGGAAGTCTTATCCAACTTCAGAAGATCTCCGTAAGACTATATAAATAAATATTGGGAACTTTAGAAGACATTCTACAGATCAGGAAATTAAAATACAAGCATGATATTCTTCTTAGAAAAAAAGGAGCTACCAATAAATGAATATGTGTATTTGATTGGCAATGAAGAAAAATGGAACTATTTTCAATGATTGTGTTTGACAAAAATAGAATTACTAGTCCCCCCTCTCTCTCTTTTCTACATCCCTTTTATACCCATTTTGAAGCAAAAGAAAACTGTAAATGTGACAAAAATGATAGTGATGTAATTCCCCTCAACACACATCATCTATATTTTAATCAAAGCATTCTAACATAAAATGCATCCAAGAATTAATTAAAGGGGGTACTGTTTAATTCTTTTAAAACTTTGTGAAGTTTAACTAAAATTACAACAGTAAGTATAACTTACCTTGGTTTTGTCCACTTTCTCCTGCTTCACTAAAGCTATGTTCCCCAGATCTCCCATCAAATACTCAGACACACTGTAACAATTTACAACTACATGTAACCTAGCTATTGACTACATACCTAGATATTAATAGATCAATAATTTATATTTAACAAAATAATGTATTCACATACTTGAGCAACAGTTTGACAATTCTTCATTTAACCCACCTGCTGCTAAAAGCCAGAGCCAGTTGGTCAATTGCTTCACAAAAATTATGTTCAGCTGGGGAGGCAGGAGACTGACTATAGTCATGTGCTGCAATGATAACATGTTACTATCTCAGTATGTAATATCTAAATACATATTTTATAATTTCTCCTCTCTACTTTTTTATCTCTCTCTACTCTCTCTCTCTTTCTCTCTCTCTCTTTCTCTCTCTCTCTCTCTCTCTCTTGCTCTACTGATTCCAATTTTAAAAAAAAATTCTAATGTAAGAAAAACTCAAAAACAAGCCACCTACTTTTAATTTTGCTGATCAGAGCTGCAGAGGATGAAAATAACTCTGTGGACTGCAGAGCAGGATATTTATTGAGGATGTTCTTTAAGATGGCCAGGACTTCTCCCAGACGAGAATGGGACATAACTCTGAGGTCCTCTCCCGATCCTGCGGCATGGTCAACATAAAATGTGAGGAATTACGTATGTACCACTTAATGCTTGAATTCAGAAAATAAATTCATGGATTTTCCTAATTGTTGCATTGTATTTGTTCAATAAAACATGCATGCTTTCTCCCGAGAAATTTGAAGTCAATCACCTATCAGCAGTTTTCTGAGATGGTTTCCTGATAAAGGTGTTTTATCTGAGGCTTTTATCTGACATTTTTTTTCACTTGTAATTGTTTGTTATTCTGCTCTACCTGCCTAGATATTCTGCTCTGTAAACTTTTTTTTCAGTAATTGCCTTTTCATGTCAAAATGACAACTGCATGAGGACACAATTATTGTCCTAACTGATTCTCAAAATACAGTATTTTCAAAAAATTGCCTTTAGTAATTGTCGAACTTTTGTTTTCTTACACCAAACAGTATTGAGTAACCAGCCATAAAATATGACCAACTGTTCTCTTGCTTGATTCAGTTAAAATTTTGATTAGCTCTGTAACCTTGACAATTTTAAACTTCCTATTAACAAAGGTTTGCGGCTATTGATGTGAACAATAAAAAACAACTCTTACATCTTATAGACTTTAAAGGTGTCCAAAATAAACTAGATGTGAAGTTTAAATTAGCAGTTGATGATAAATTATGCAAAGTCCTTAAACTAAATACTAAAACATTACCATATCAATCACTTTGATCATTATTCCATAGTAAATTTTCCCTTTTACAAAATTTACAATTCCAAAAAAATAAACAACTTTAAACCTTTAAATATTCTAAAATTCTTATAAAATATTTTTATTACCTGCAAAGTCTGTGAAGATTGTTTTAAGGTGGGAGAGGCCATCTGAGAACAATTTGACCTGCTGAGTGAGGGCCAATATATCGTCTTGGTCCACAGGGCCAGCATTGGCCTTCTGGTTATTGTTCAGATTTGACAATGACATGCTCTTGGTCATTTTCTGTGAGGCTGAACTTTGAGGGGCAGGGCTTTCTCCAGACCCCGTTGGCATGCACTTCTCTGGTCCCTGATAATTCAGTATAATCATATAAGTATCAAAAATACTGTACACTACATTTTTTTCATAGCTTGTGAAATTATGTTCCTTGAAAATTTCTATAGTTCCATTCCTAATTTTAAAATGTACATCATTTAAATGCAAAATTATGGACTGCATTACCTTTTAAGTGACATTAAAACAGATAAATGCAGCACTTTATTGTTAAATCTTTTTTAAAAAGTTGAAGCTATGTACCTTCAAAGACCTATAAGAAATACAGGTACCCACATTAAAAAGCAAGATGAAAATTTACCTGTACACAAGGTGTATTTTCAGATCTCTTATCAGTTTTAGTACATAAAATGGTCATTAAATCAATTACCCTCTAGGACCATTTAAAATCTTGAACAAATAAAGAACGTAAACTAACGATTTATAAAACGACTTCACAATCACTTCAAGATATGGGACAGGATAGAAATGTTTGGACTTCACACAGTTTACAAGCATTGAGCGCTGGCCCCTTTTACAAGGCCTATCTCCCAGTCACACACTAGCTGTCAACCCCCACATCTCTGATCAGTGATCTATGAAGCTGAATAAAAGCTTTGCTCATTAAATTCACAAGGAACATCCTAATCTCACTCTATGAAGTACATTAACATCAAATTAACCCAGCATTTCCTACAAACATCATTTCAAAAGTTAAACATTTGTAACCCTAACACGTAATCAATACTTGAATGTTTATTGAACCATTATTTACAGATTGGTCAAATTGAACAAGTCACATTTGCATGTTTATATACTCGGCTAAATTGTCTGTTTGCATGTTATGTGTCTCCCGCTAAATTGTCCACATTGAGAATACAGCCATAAACATCCCTCTCATTGATTTGTACAAGTGAATAATTGGGAAGGTACCTGTTTACAAAGGTGACATGCTGAACCACAGGAGAAAACACCAACATAAATTATAAATGTGTCCTTCAAAGCAGAGAATTTCTATTGAGTGGAATTCGGTCTTCAAAAAGATAACACACCATATTATATTCAAAATGGCCATTTCAAAATTTATTAACTCAACAACAGAAAAAAAGTATGTAATAAATATATCATGCTGCTCAAGTATGACTGTCAATATCCCTTTTAAGTATTTTATCTTTAAAAGCATTGTGAACTTTTATGCTAATACAACTATTGAAAAAATGTATCAATCTATACACATAAAGTATATTTTAAGGAGAGATGATACGAAGATTGGTATATATATTTTAAAACCATTTTAAATTGTAAATCTTGTAAAATATTAAGAAATTATTAATTTTCTATAATGTTTAAAATTCTACTTTTCTGTAATCACCCTTATTAATCTATACCACTTTTTGTCACTTTAAATCACATCATTTAAAACTTTGAATGAAAAAATCAAATCTATGTGGTTAAACTTATTTGTTTTAGTTATAAACAAGAGTCTAGTTGAAAACTTGAATTTTTTGTGAATTTTTAGTAAAGTCTGTTTGCATCATCTGTCCTTAATATGCTTTACCACTTCTATTTTATTTTTGCTACTTAAAAATGTACTATAAACAACACTTAAGACTTTGTGTGACTTTGTAGACATTGCTTCAGTATCAAGTATATTTTACACAGTTAGCATGGTTAGGGAGTGTGTATTGTATGATATAATGATAAAACTTGGATGAGAGCTTTCCACCCAATGCACATTAAATGTATGTACATTACATAGCAAAAGACATATACTGGTGTAAATATGTGTAAAAGATTTAGAGTTTTAAAAGACAACTGAAAAGTCAGAAAAATGCTAAAACAATATTTTGCAAAGCCCCACCCATGATTTGACTTTTGATCCGCCACATAAATATAGCATCTCTAAAGTATGTTTTAAAGTTTAGCCCTCTTGCAAATGTTTCATGCCTTAACTAAATTACAACACTATAAATATGGGTAAACCATTCATTTTAAGTTACAGACATTGTCATGCATATACCTTTTGTTCCACTGCTTCGAGACTTGGTATTTTCCTGCCTGATGCTAATTCCTGGCGTTCCAATGCGGACATTATGAAAACGCCTTGAAAATCTCAGCACAAGCACCATAATTATCGAGTATTTCCATGTCAATTACATTAATACTGATCTATACAACGTTTAAAATTGCTATATACAAAGTTCATAACTTTGACAGAACTTCCAAAACTTCAAGAAGTCGGCCATCATTCGACCGGAAATGAATTAGTCACGTGACCTCTCTAATACCTTTTGAAAGGTAAAGGCCTTATTAGCTTACCTATAGATTAGCGGGGCTAATCAAAATTGCAATACGTCAGATTAAATTTTTGCATTTGTCCTGTGTAGAGTTACTCCGATATCGGATGGATGCGTTTCACACATATAGAAAGAGAACTATTCCAGTTTTACGCCTCGCTCGTAATTTTAGTTAAAAGTAAAAAAAAAAAAAAGAGAAAAAGGGAAAAAATCTAATAATACATTTAAAAAAATAGAATAAACAAACTAATTTTAAAAAACTAATAAAAAAAAAAAACAAGAACAAAACACGCAATATATTAAAATGTAACGTCACTTTCGAATTAAGGTGTCTTTCATTTAAAATAATTTTTAAAATTGTTCATTTTATTAACTTGAATTCCTGCATTTTAAAAGTTTTGATTGTTTGTTTGCTTTTTTTTAAAAACACAATTAGTTCAGACAAGATTTCATGATAAAAGGAGAAATTACAACAGCTAGCTAAAAAGTCTAACTCATTAATTCAAATCTGTTTATACAAATTACCCTACCGAAAAACAACTTTTTTAAATAAAAACAATTTAAACAACTTAAATACATGTAGGTGGAACCGTGGAAAGCACCATTTAGTCTTTACTTGTGAATTTTTACAATTTAATCTTTGTACTCAGCAACTCTTCATTCTATTCGTTAATTAAAAGAAAAAAATGCATTTATGCGAAATTTTTGTCCAGCAATGAACAAAGTGAACACCTCTATTAACATGATGTGCGTGCTCTAGGCTCATAACGCAGTCTGTCAAACGCTAGTTAAAAAAAAAAATTATAGGGCTACAGGTATGAATATCATAATAAATGCCTTTTAGAAACGAGTGACAGCTATTTTAAAATATCACTCATGTTGAGTAAATCAACTGTTTGTAAATTTTGAGTTAAAACACTCATTTACTCAAAATCCTCACAGCTATTATAGCTCTTTGATTTTTGGACCTGGGAGAAGATTATTTAAGGGATCAGTGCAATTTCAAGTATCATTTCAACTGTCTTTATCACAAATTTTCACTTTGTAAAATTTCAATTCTTTTTACTTTTTACAAAATTTACATGTATGTGCGCAAAGACCTCTTCCTCTTAACTAGCTGTTGTTTGGGAATTCCTGGATTTTGTTACATGTGATACAAATGCGTTCGTTTTGTTGGACGTCCAGAGAAGTTTTACCTTTTCTTGGGATTTTGGGACAGTACTAGTACATGTAATATGCTGTATGGTAATTCTCTAAAGCCTTTCAAGGCCTTATCCAAAGGGGCTGGTTAATTCAGTAAAAGAAAAAAATTCACTTTTGAAACAAAAATTGTCATTTTTTAAATGTAAACAAAGTAATGCAGCTTGATTATGTTTAGTTTTAAATATGTGAAAAAAATGACTAAAAATAAATAAAAGAGTCAGAAAAGGGGTTACCCCTGGCAAATCTTCTCCTGTAACCCCCTCCTTTCCCCCTTTCCAGAAACCTATACATGCGCGGATCCAGGGGGGTCGGGGTCCCCCCCCCCCCCCCCCCCCGGAATTTGCAGAGTTATCAAATGTATTTACTAAAGCAAGTAAACGTGATATTGGACCCCCCCCCCCCTAGAAAACGCAGACCCCTCCTCGAAAACACAGATCTGTGTGAAATTGGTACAAAAAGTCACTGGTATGAAGTTTTAGATTTTTCGTGTTTGGGAAATAAGTTTAAGTTTTTTGCTTTTGTTTTATTTTGGGTTTTTTTTATTTGCTTGTCAAGATCAGGGTTGGAATTTTTTTTGACTGGGTGGACCCCCCCCCCCCCCCAACCCTGCTGGAAAAAAATATGGATCCGCGCCTGGTACTACATAGCCCTTTTCCCACAATGTATAAACCAAGACTTTTTTAAAAATGATGTCAAAATGATATGGCAAAAGAGATGGCGTTTATAAAGGCATACATTTTTATACAATATTGGCCAATGGAAGTCGTATGCCAGAATTTTAGAGATCCCAGTTCAACTAAGAGGAGAGGGGGGAGGGACAACGAAAAGTACCTATAGTGTATATGGCATAAATAAAGTATATAACGAAATATTGAAGTTATCTTTGTCCAGTCTTTGTATATTGTCAGATATAGTTAACGTACTCATGTCATTTCGACTGAGAAACAATGAAGGGTGACTTCAGGAAGAGTCATAGGATAATTCATAATTTCGGGAGGTTTCAAGAAAAGAAATAAACATTATATAAAAGGAAAAACAAAATTTAATTAGACAGTATTGGTTTATTTTCTCATTAACTGCATGTTAAATTCCAACATTCATTGAAATTATTTTGAACACTTTTGGGAAAATTGATGAAATGTTGGATCCACCATGAATGCATGTGACGAAGTGTAAAATTATAATTAGAATCAAAGTGACTTTTAAAAAATCAGACCGTATATCTTTTTTAAAAATCAAAATATAAAGTACCATTTTCAAAACTTTAAATTTCACTGAATGAGAAAAATGAGGCGGGTGGGGGGTGTCCTAATAACACTTAGAAAACAGTTGAATTGCTTTGATATTGAAGGTGACCGCGTTGACAGTACAGATATACGAGCTCATCACAGGATACTAATATAATTACATCTGTGTATATTGTCAAGAAAATATATTGTATAACAAAATAACAATAAGATTTATTGACATGACCTTATGCAAAAGTGACTTAAGATTCACTTTTTATTCATGTATTTTCACACAGACAAAATGAATGAAGAAGAGAAAGGGCGAAGAAATCCAAGCTGCGGTTTGAAGAAAGGAGACATTCACAACTACTACATTAAGGCACCGTGTGCACAAACAAAACTTGGTTATGATCCATATTCTCGAAGTGCAACTCAAGATATCCAAGAAATTCTACACGATACATCTGATACAGATGATGGATCCTTCGGGTCGTTTTCGGAGTTAGATTCACCAAAATGGCGTGAGAATGAAGGGGTACGTGAATATTATTTATTAATACTAATCATCAAATGCCAGTTTAAAAGCCTTGCAGAAATATTCTGATGATTTTTATTTTTTTTTTATTTAAAAATTAAGCATCGGAGAAAATTTATTTTAAAGATGAGAAGGCATTTTTATAAAAGTTTTTAAAGATGCCTGTTAAGTAAGGAGTATACACTTGGGTACTTTTTCAACTTGTTTGATGCTTTTCGTTGTAATTTTAACGTTATTAGGGGGGGGGGGGTTAAAAGAAGGGCGAGCGGGACCACAGGGAGTTATGGTAAAAAAAAACCAATGAATTGCAAAACTCAAAAGCTTCTTGAGGCAAAGTCCTACTCACACACAGAATGTATGAATTTACAACCTTGACATTTGACCTCAGATAAATAGGGGTTTTACAACGCACTTTAAATAATACACATGTTAAAAAAAATCAATGCATTGCTTGGGGAATGTTCTTAAAAATTTTAGGTATGATGAATTATTATTTGAACCTGAATGGATAACTCTTCGGTAATGATGTCGCCGTTTCAAGATTTGTGAGGTATAGACAATTTAAAGATTTTAAGGGATTGCCTTTTCCCCAAAGGTTCTCTGTCTTTCAGTTTCCACAAATTTTATTTTAAAAATAAACTCTGTTGTTATGACTAAAACTAATCATAACAACAAAGTTTATTATTAAATAAAATGTGTGGAAAGACAGTTCTCGTAAATGTTAAAAAAGAGAAATGTGTCCTGTAGACATAATGGAGAAAGGATTGTTTAATTGCACAATTTCATTTTTTTAAAAAATTCATCCAATCTGTAATAAGTTTGGCAGATGTAAGGGTCCGTATTAAAGCTTTAGCTTTTGCAATGAAATTTTACACAACCCCCGATGGCCTAAAGAAAACTGTTCACAAGTGAAAGACATATGTCCAGAATTTTTTACACCCTTAAATTTTGTCCTAATTTAAACCTACTTTGATTTTTTTCATTGTGTGTTGATTCTTTATCAGTTTTAACGCACTTTTTTTTTACTACGTTGTGGGGGTCATTATTATCCCCACTCGCGGTGCAAGGGAGTATTTCTTCGGGCTCGTGAAACACAAAAAATCGCACCCATAAACGTTATTGGTTGAAAACGCTCACACCCTCGACTACAAGGTCAAGGAGAAACTATGTCTGTAAGTCAATATTTTTTTTTCCGCGTTGTTAGTTAAAATACTACATGAGCAAGTATGTGTGTATTTGTTACTATTTCATAGGTGGATTTATTAATTTTTTCTAAACTTACTGGTTAAAAATTCCTCGTAGATCTAATAGAGTAAGTATGATAAACATGTTTTCTTCAGCAGGATCCAGACCAGTTACAGGCGGATCTAGCAGAAGTAACTATTGTCAAAAGGCCAAATAAAATAAATCTGATTTATATTTTGTATTGCTTCTTGAAAATTTTATCTATATAACTTAATCTACCACTATATCTTCCATATAAGTATGAATTTATTTACTTGTTACTTTAATTGGGCCATAACCATGATAACCATGCATTAACTATTATTTTATGAAAGTTGCGATAATTGACTTGCTTGTGAAGTTTTTTTATTTGTATAGATAGGTACAGTATCATTGTTATGTGAAGCATAGCCTTTCAAATTAATTAAAATGCTTGCACACTAGTACTGTCATACCTGTTTAGGCTGTTTAAAATACTAGACTGTTTAATAATTTCCAGTATTGAAGATTTTAATCATCTGCTACTCATTGAGTTACAAAGTATTAGTAGATATCACATGCTATATTTTTTTAAACTGAAATTTTTATATTTTTGGCAGAAAAGGAAATCCGAGGGGACACCTGTGAGTGCTTCAAAAGGTAAAAAGTCCAAAGAACTGGAGAAACCTAACTCCAGTACCAGCCCCTCGGTCTGTAATGGCACTAACACAGAACAGATTAAAGACCCATTCTGTGATCCAGACAATCCAAAGAAAATCCTGTTCCAGGATGTCAGCGCAGCAGCATATAAAATTAAAGATGGCATTCACCGGAGTCCATGTATTGTAAGACATGAATATTGTATTACACATCATAAAATGTTCATTTATTATCAATCTGTATCCTTTATCCTGTTTTGTCTTACTACTGTCCTACTTCTCTCTCTCTCTCTCTGAAGATGTAAATTTGTATATTGATGTTACTTCAAAATTATATAGCAAATACAGTATATGAAATAAATAAATTATAATGGACAAAATCTTTTTTGAAAAATATTGCTTTTTTTGGATAGGAAATTCATATAAGAAAAAAATCCTTGATGGATTTTCCTCCTTTTACAATCTGATAGTTTGTGCTTTAGAAGTAAATGTATTCTCCAAACTGGTCCTCTTGAATAATGTCTGATTCTTATTAATACATGTATTTCAGAGATCTAGAATGTCTGCCATGTTGAATATGGACATTTATTTCAAGAAAGAATTCCTGCAATTCACAGGAAGGTAAGATGAAAGACTGCTCTGCACTAGCGCTGTAGAGTTGTATACCGACTTTTATATTCTTATGCATCAGAAATATTAAGATAACTGTTTTAAACTAAATTTTTCTATTTCTTTTAAAAAAAACCCACTTTTTTCCTTTACAAACTGTTATTGTTTAACTGAAATTTGAAGATGTATTTTTAATTTGATTTCACATTTATTATTTTTGTCTATTTATTTAGCTTCAAAGAAAGAGGAGCAAGATATGCTCTGATGCAGCTATCAAAAGTAAGGAAATATGCATTTGAATTTCATTACACACTTTTCATGTCCAGTGAATGGGTTGTCTCCCTTTCAATGTGATTTAAAACCAAAATGGCAAGAAGCAAAGAATGTAAAAACTTCACGGATTCCTCTGTGTTTTATATTTCAAAACCCATTTACTGGTAGATACAGAAGACACCTAAGGCTATTAAGCTGAAATTAAATTTTATATAAGAAATTCAATTAAAAACTTTTAATGTGCATTTAATAAATGCTGTTGGATTATTATAGTTTGGAAATTTCTCCCACAGGAGCAGAAGGAGATAGGGGTGATAGCAGCCAGTGCCGGTAACCACGCCCTTGCTCTGGCCTACCACGGTCAGTGTCTGGACATCCCAGTGACCGTAGTCATGCCCCTTATAGCTCCGATGATGAAAGTCCAAGCTTGTGTCAGTTATGGAGCCAATGTCATTATCAAAGGCAATGATATCTCAGAGGTTGGTAGACAGGAATTTGATGAATCTGCTGTCTTTTGTTATATGAATACAGGTACTTCATTATTAATTGTATACCTGGAAGAGAATCCCTTTATTGATTTTACTTAGATCTGACAGAAACTTTTTTTATTGACTATCATTTGTCATATTGAATATGTAAAAAGATTCTTAAGGAAATATATGCTAAAAATAACTGGGCTCCTACAAAATTCAAGTAGAGGTACTATAGTAGGTTTATTACACTTAGTGATATAACTGTAAATCATTTAAAAAAAAGAAAAAGAAAAAGAAAAAACTTCAAAAGTTGTGTTTTAAAATGTTGTGATGTGGAACTTTATAATGTTTCAAATTTTGTTTTTTTTTTCAGTCAAAAGTACATGCACAGACAATGGGGAAAGAAAAAGGATATGTTTACATAAATGGGTATGTTTTGCAATTTTTTTTTTCATTAGATATATACATATACCTTAAAATTTATGCTTAACTTTTATTTATATTTTAATTCATTCCTTTTTTGTTTTGAATAGTTACGACCACCCTCACATCCTAGCTGGACAGGGAACTATGGGATTGGAGATTGTAGAACAAGTACCTGATGTGGATGCTGTTGTTATACCCGTGGGTGGGGGAGGGCTAATTGCTGGAGCTGCCCTCGCCATCAAGAACCTCAAACCATCTGTACAGATCATTGTAAGAATAACATTACAAAACAATCTAGCTGTATGATATTGTGGCAGTCAGTTGGTTTTGATTGCTGGTGGCCAGATAGCTCAGTTGGAAGAGCACCTGAGATTCAGGGGGCCTGGGTTCGAATCTCGATCTTGTCTGCTGCATTTTTCTCCTCTCCCATTACAATATTAACAGATGACAAAGACAATATGCAGTGCATTTTCCTTTGCAGATTACACAAAATTTAGTGCAATGTGAACTGTAACCATATTGATTATAACTGTGGTGATTTTTTAGGGGGTTGAGGCAGAGAGATGTGCCAGTTTTACAGAAGCATTAAAAGCTAGAAAACCAGTACGGACTGCAATGTCTTCCTCTATTGCTGATGGTGAGAGATCCATGATGTTTGCTTGTTTTCTGTAACTTACAATAACACAAGTCAAATATGTTGCACTATAAACTTACAGCGCTGTAATAGGGCATTATGATTATTTATAGGTTTAGCTGTACCAACAGTTGGAGTGAATGCATTTGAGACTGCCAAAGACTTGGTGAATAAAATGGTAACTGTAAAGTAAGTAAGGTTAATTTAACAAAGTGACGCCAAATAATTAAAAAGAAAGCTTTTGAAGTGTGAGTAGCTGTAAAGTAACTTACTTTTGTCCATCAGGAATAATAATGAGTTTCATCACCTTCTTTCACTTTTGATATTGCTTGCCGTGAACCATTTACATATGTATTTCATTGTGCATTTATGAAGACTATTTACTCAGTCACAACAATTAATAGTCAACATTGAACTTAAACAGACAAATCCTGAATAACAGTTGGTTTATAGTGAGTCTGATTTTTCCAGGGAGGAGAATATAGCTTTAGCAATCCTGCGTCTGATAGAACTTGAGAAAGCCATTGTAGAAGGAGCAGGAGCAACAGGACTGGCCGCCATATTAGAGGGATCACTTCCAGAACTCAAGGGCAAAAAGTTAGTTGAAATAAATAAAAGCCTCATAAAATTTATGAAAATTAGTTTTTTGTGAGCTAAATCAACAACAGAAAAGTTCATTTTACATTTTATTTCCCCTCTACATGTGAACATTAAGTAGGTATATAGATACAATGTATGTATTACACTGTACTGGTAATTGCTGAGTATTTAAGTACCAGTACGTTAAATATATTGTATAAATAGGGTGGTTGTGGCACTTTGTGGTGGAAACATTGATACCACGGCCCTGGGTCGGGTGATAGAGCGTGGTCTGGCTGCTGATGGACGTCTCATTAGATTTGTGGTGACTGTGTCAGACAGACCGGGAGGGATAGCTGAGCTTACCAAGCTGTTGGCAGACCTAGGAGTCAGGTAACTACAAGATGAGACCATGCTATGTTCACATACTGTGATTGGGAAAAAAGTGATATAGTCAAGGAAATATGATTTTTATTTAAATTCAGTTTTTATGCTACATGGAAAGACTAGTCATTTAAAATCATAAAAATTGAAAAATGTTTATTTATTTGCAGTATTAAAGATATATTTCATGAAAGAGCATGGCTTAAATCAGATGTGTTTTCAGTACAGGTAAGATTAGGGTGTATATGTTACTAGCTGAGAATCTTGTCTGTTTTTTGGTTATTTATCTTAAAATGACATTATTTAATGCATTTAAAAAATCAAAAAAGTATTTCCATGTTGTACGATAAAAAGAATTTTAGTGAAGGATTTTCTTTTGACATTCATGATGATATACATAACAATATGTTTAGCAAAAGTTTTTCCCATTGCCTGGCTTTAAATCTATATTTATGTTACACATTTTCACAAAATAATATATTATAATAAGTGCACTATTTTGACTTTGATTTGTTTAGGTGAAGTGTGTTGTGGAGGCAAGAGACAAAGCCCACTCAGAAGAACTACAATCAGCTCTCAGGAAGAAATACACACAAGTGGCATGGCTGCCCATGTATTTCTGATAGTCCATACCAGTTTTAATTGCTGCGAATGTCCTTTAGAATCTTAGATTAGAATCTCCTAGTATTCATGACAAGTTAAAACATCAGTATAAATACTACAGGTATTTTTATTTAGATAAGAATGAAATTATTTATGTATGGATGATTCATTTTACAAAGCAATGCAGGGTATTAGAGAAATGAAAGAATATGGTGTAGTGTGTCTTTAATTAAAAGAACAAAAATGCACAGTTGTTGAAAATTTGTGATACCGGTAAGTCTTGAATCTCTTGTTTGTACTTTGCAATCACTATTTCTATGAATATTAGTCCCACACAGAAAATGTCTTGTCTGGTGGAAGCCATAGTAATGTTTTGTTTTTTATGCTACACACATGTATTTGTGCATATTGTTGTTTGGATTGTTTCTCAGGATCAGTATTTTTACTTAATTATAGACTTCTCAGGATAACGGGAACATTTTTAAAGCAGTATTATAGAGTCCAGTGATGATCACTAGGAACAAAACCTAAAATTTTGATATTATCACATGGGCATTTATAACAATCTTGTAATTGTCTCACATTTACCCACCCATCCTTGGTGTCTATTGGCACATAAGGCCCCATCCTCATGTTCTAGTCTAGTGCTGTATTTTAATGTGCCATTATAATTTTATTTTTATCAAAATGAATCACAGCAGATGGATCTCACAAAGACTTTTTTAATGTACAGTCTGTATTTTCTGAAAATCAGTGTACAGTACAACAAGCTTATAGCCAACAAGCTTTTAATGAATTGATACTTTTAGCAAGTGATTTTTATTCCCCATGGTTTTAAATTAAATTGTTAAGTTAATGGATTTAATGAATAATGTTTATAACGAAGCAAAATCTTCCGTCCCTGACACTTCATTTTAAGCATGTTTAAGTGTTAATTGTGTTAAAAAAAAATGGAACCAATTTTATAAGCCAATTTATATTGTACATCTGGTTAATTTTTACTGGTGGAAATTGCGGCTGATGTGAAAAACCCCAAACTATTCCATAAGAACATTTTTATTTTAAATTTTTGTTGGTACAAACATCAATAACATACTGTATTATTTTGGCTAGATTATAGTTTTGGTTGATCAAAAGTCAGTGATCAAATTTTCACTCATGAAAATGATAAATCTAATATTGTACATGTATTTAAAGAAGTGGAGTTTTATAATGCCTCTTCATGTTTTATTGACACGTCATGTTTTAATAGCTGTATACATGTAAATGAAATAATCCTATATTTTTACATGGTGTAATGTATGTTGATTCATTATAGAAAGATTTTGCCAAAATTGTACCTGAAGGAACCTCACATTCATTTTTTTTTTTTTAAAGTTTGACATAACCAATTTATATATATTTGTGCTAGTTTTCAAAATTAAGATACACCCCCTTATCATTTCAGATTTTTTTATTCACTAGAAGGAACCTCACATTAGTTTTTGTTTCATATTTTTGATTTTTAATTGTATAACTATTAATGTTTTTTTTTTTGCCAGTATATTTGCTTTGTAATATTTTGTGTTATATGTTTTTGAAGAACGTTTCAAATCTGAAATGAAGTTTTCAAGTTACTGATACTTAACATTTATGATGCTTAATTATTAATTGCTGGTATCTTCACAGTTTGTAAACAACATTGGAAAGCTTCATTTTATTTAAAAAATAAAATACTTAAAATGTTTTCTGATATTTATACTTTAATCTTATTTTCCGCTCAGTTAATTTGTTAGAAGGATTAAATGTTGGAATTTCCACACTTGAAACTGATCCATTTTCAGAAATAAACGCATACTTATCCGATTGCTTAAATAAAGACGCAAAATATAATTAATCTTTCACCCTATGTGGTGAATTTCGAAGGTCTTTCATTTACACGTGTATCTTAAAGGGCTTTTATAAGACTACGATAACCTATTTAGAAACAATACAAGGAATAAATCGACTAAATTACGTAAGTGTTACCAATAGAACCCTAGAAAAATTCCTTAATCCCTCCTGATCTTGTGTACTCTCTGACTGTCCCTGCGTAAGGTCATTATGGACATTAATATAGAATTTATAACTTTTCTGCTGAGAGAAAGCGAACGAGTTTGTAAAGAATAGAAAGCAGAATTGGGGGTCCTCCCTCCACTGAAAATGGATTGCTGTCACGATTTTTTTAAACACATCATGGTTTTTTTATTTCCCCCTTTTTTCTTGAATGTTAAAGCATACTTTGCATTTGTAAGGACTACACAAAACAAACATCCAATGCGAGGAAGCCGTTTATCATAAACACATACAAAATATTTTAAAAAGTCAAATAATAGCATTATTTTATACTAGTCTGTCAGTTTGAAAAATCGAAAATACATCGGTTAAAATGCATTTACAGTAAAACCTCAAATCAACGACCCGTATTTAAACAAAATCAAGGAATGGACATTAAACGTCATGGGACGGAATTCGAAGATACCGACATGACGACATTTCTCTATAAAGTCCTTCTTGTGATGTCTTTGGTTCCTCATCTGGCATCTCTTCTTTAAGTTCTTTAATGCTATGGGTCATCAATTTTGCAAAGTATTTGAATTTAAGCATTCCTTTATGGGATTGTGACATTCGACGTAGAGCTTTCTTTTCCAAACTGTTTTTATCCATTTCCTTGAGAAGTCCAATTGTGTGAAAACTTTGACTTCTTGCTCTTAAAAATTGTGGTTCTTCCTTTATTTTGGGAAATTGTGTGTGAGAGCGCGTCAGACCAGCCAAACTTCTGCTCCGGTTTCGGAATTGAGGATTATCGTCAGCTTTTGTCTGTTCGTTTTTGTGAAGTCTCGTGATCGTATCAACACTGTCGCTTCGTTCGCAAGGAGTCGGTGTTCGGTCAGTTACCGAGGAAGATTCACTCACTGAATTACTTTGCCATGTGAAAACTGAATTTTCGTTAATGTCTGGCAGAGAAAGAGACAAAGGTTTCACCGTCATCACCTTTGTCTTTCTCTGCGTCCTTTCTGTGGAATGCTTCCTTGGTACTCTTTCGGTGTCACTGCTATACTCCTCAGCCTCACTTTCACTACAAAAAGCGTCATCTGGAGAATAAAAGGTGTTTTCTCGCTCCAGTTTCACTGTTGGAAGATGTACCTCTATCTTAATTTTTCCTTCTTGAGAAGATTCGTTGATGCCATTTTTCTCAGTTGATGGACCTTTTCTGCGGTCTTTCTTAGCTTTAAACAAATGTTTATGATACTTTCTAACGACCATCCGCTTGTCAATGCGGATTTCTTTAATGCGTCTTTCCATTTGTTCTTGTATCTCCTCTTTATCTTTCTGTAAGTGAAACTGTCTATGCACATCCATGGTATGCATTCTTCTATAGTCCGTCACGGTCTGAAGTCGTCGCAGCATCTCCGACGCTTCCAGTTTTTCTGCAAGTACCTCCAACTTCTTCATACTTTTCATTCTTCCAAGTTCTCCCAAGGTTGTGTAAGGAACAAGTCAGTGTGCTCTCCTGATCAACACAATCTGCGCGGAGTTAAGATGTTACTTATAGGATTATATTAAGTCGGATTAAAAATAGCTAACTATTAAAAAGTCTGCTTTACATTCACTTGTTAAATTCAAAGCCATCTCTCGCGATTTATTTTTTGACGATACAGCACTACGAGATTTAAAAACTGGTTCCGATTCTAAACTAGTATTATTTACCGAATTGTTTTTATCGGATTATTAAAACACACACATTACACTAATAAGTCTAAGGACAAACTTAATCTCTTTTCTCGAAATATCAGAAGTATGATAGAACAAGTGTACTCCATTTTTGAGAGACTGATTGGCGTCTCACGCTGCATGTACACCAACACTACGTAAACGCAACGTAAGCTAATGCACCTGTACATTAGACAATGACAAACACAAATATAACATGTATCGATAAACAGCACCAAATATAAATGTCGAGTTTTCAGATGCAAATTTATTTAACTAATTTTGCCTCCCTCCTCCATCTTCTTTCGTTTAAAGGGATATAATCAATTTAATACTGATGATGATTTTCCCGTTATTTCCCGATCATGACAAGGAGCACACGACGGGTGTGACTGGTCGGGTGGGGATGCTCACTCCTCCATGGTACCTGATCCCACCTCTAATGTTTTAGAGGTCCGTGTTTGCTCTGCTCCTATTTTGTATCGTTTTATGGACTTTTGATCTTGAGTACCGTTCGTTATCTCCATGTTTCATTCAAAAAATCAAAGGCCGGGTCAGAAATTATAAAATTGTTTTTGAAAAGATTTCTTACATGAATCACGTTTATATTCTGATAAAAAATTATATTTAAACCAATATAAATGATAAGACACTGACAGTGAGTTTTTCAATCCTAATACCACTCCGATTTTGTCAGAATCAGAATTAATCTGGTACCGCAGCTGAATGTAAACAAACAGGCCAGTCTGGTTCCCTCTCCTGCTTTTTACCTCGTATGTGTAGAGAACTACGGTAACACTGATGATCAAAAATCCTTACGCTAATGAACTATGTTCTTTGACTTATGAAGTTTTCAAAGTCATTACTACTAATGTTTATTTTAGAAAAAACTTCGTTTTATTTTTGTTGCTTTATTTAGCGTTTGTATTATCTCAAAAGCGGTTGAGAGTAAGAACTATATTTTTGCACGTAACATGGCGACTATTATTGAACATAATAAGCCGGCAAAGCAATAAACTAAAAATTGTTTTTGAAAAGTTTCAAGATGACGCCTTTAGTTCTTTTTGTAATGTTTAGTACTACATATTTATTGAACATATTAACAACTCTCTACTTTTACGAGGGCTGTTCAATAAATAATGTCCTGAACTCTATGACAAACAACATAGTAATAATCATATGGCATTAAGCTTGACTTTCTCTCATGATTGAATCTTTAATGGATTGAAACAGTTATTGTGTCCCCTTTTCATCACATAGTTTCATTTTGAGAAGCTGGAAAACAAGGGCTATTCGAGACACTCCACTAAAAATGAATGGTAAAGAATCAGTAAACTAGAGTGAAATTAAATGCTTCATTAAAACTACTGTAAAACTCGTTAAGAATCCCAAAGAAATATTCACTGAAATATGTGAAATTTACAGCAACCAATGCCTGTTTTATAG